CGCTTTTTCGTCCGTAGTTCGCTCGCTCGCTTACCATGAATAATTCATAACCGAACCTCGTACAAACGCTAGATGTTTGGCAAGGAAGGATTGGCCTCAGGATTTAGAACAACATAAGAGAAAAAAAAGGAAATAATCGAGAAATCGCGACAATTAACCGTTCGAAAGAGAGAGAGGAGATGGAAGCGATACAGCGTCTCCGTATAGTCGATAACTTCTTAATTGCGAGGAGAGACTCTTACAAAAGCTTCGAGACTTCCGCCTTTCAAAGACACCAACCACTCGACGTGGTCGACAATGTCGGGGAAGTTGCCGGCAGTTGTTTGACATTAGCCTGAAAATAAATTGCGCAGAACATTGTTAATTCAAATGTCAGGGAACGAGGTCGACAGAAGCATCGTCAAAAATATATTTATTCCTAGCTCCGGAATATCCGGAAAAATGAAATATGTTTCTCATGCACATTTATTATCAATATTTATCTCTGCGTCAAAAAATATATATATATCTCTACGAAGTCACACACATTACGAAAATGGAATTTGTTTGTGACGATAATTTTATGTAAACATTTGACCGAGACTGAATATCGGTATTGAAATTACATATCAAGATATATTATTTGTAATTGTGTGTGATTGTAATTAAATAGTGATACAATTGTAAAAACAAATTTGCATTTGCATATATATGATACAACAATTTATATATTTTTTTAATTTAGCAAACAGTAAAAAATAAATAAAATTAGGTTTAAGACTAATGAGATTGAATATCGAAGCTAAATTCATATAACGATCAAACAAAAAAAAACTTTTCATCTGCTTCAGTTTACTAAAAGTAATCCTGAGTTTGCTGAAAGGACAAAAGAGCAGAGGAAAAGCAACTTGCTACTTATATGCGTCGATCTGAAGCTTATTGAGCTAGAAATAAACGTAAATTTCTAGAAAAAATTCTTGAGATGGTTGCTCATCATTCCTTAAAGGTAGGAAAATAGCAACGAATCGGAAAGAGAAAAAAGAAACAAGAGAGGTAGACAGGGCAAACGGAAAGGAATACAAGCTGGCAGAGAGTAAAAGGATGCACAGGTTCGTGTGCAGAAGAAATGTTGGAGTCGGGGGTCAAGAGCTCTTGGAAATCCGGGAGATTGAAATTCGAGGCATCTTCGTCCACTCGGACGGTCCTCCTTATTTACGAGACTTTCAATTACACCGGCTCGGCCCAGGCACCCGTAATGTCTCCCATTTTTCTTCGGTACTCGCGTACCACGTGACTGTGCCACGGTAATACTATTAAATCAGCGGTTCGTACAATTGCACTGCGATTATCCCTCTACTTGCGACTAACGCGCTATTTTGCGCTATTAAATATTAAAGCAACATCAAGCGGAATTTATGCGATATTATTAATTAAACATGGGTGGTAGGTTGATAAATATCGCGCGGTCAGGGAGATACGCATATTAAATATGATGAGGCACGTTCGCAATTACATTAAAGAATTATGAGAATGTGACTAATAAATTCTTGCGACCGGAATTTCTGATTAAAGTTTGATATAAAATTATCAATCGACCTAATTTCGATTAAACATGTTTATCCATCTCGAGCAACATTAATTTAACGTTACACCGCTACGCATGTGAAAGCAGCGAAGCTCTGTACATTGTTCGAGTTCATAATTCGAAATAACACGGAACACAGCAAGAAAAATGAATCTTCCACGAAGCACCAGGAGAGACTTTCTCGTGAGATCTAAGGAACGGGCGAGCTCCTGAAAACATTGTCTGGCGCTTTTGGGGCAATGAAGCATGAAACGCTTAACTATGGCGTGACATTTCTCCAACGGCCTTCCTGAAGACCCGTGAAAGAGACGCGCGTCCTTTCGTCTGGAACATATAGCCACCCACGAAACCTCTCCCCAGCCTTGCAAACACTAGACCTCGAAGGATGCCTTTCATATATTTCAAGCGATCGAAAATGTCATATCTCTCTCTCCATAGCACGGATGGTACCCCGCCCTTTGCTCTCTTTCACGAGCGAACAGAAGGATTCAGATCGCTCGATTTGAAATTGATTAAAAAAGTTTATAGGCAGTAGGATCTTTACGTTTATGCTTATACAAAAATAACAAAAGATATCATAGGTAAGATGTCCGAAATTTAAATATTGATTTAAAGTGAAAAAAATTCGTCCATTATATTGCGTACATTTGATTGTACAGTGCGTTAACAGAATAAATCATGATGTAAAAACGAAACACTGAAATATTTCTCTAATTAAGTGTTCCATTTTTCTTTGTGTCATTAAATAATTGATATAAAGTTTAACATAATTAATTGTATATATAATTATTACAAACGCGATATTTCTACGAGTAAACTTACATTTTTGTTAATTAAAGCAATTCACTGATTTCTCTTTATCGTGCGCGCGTGTAATTGTCTTCAAAATTATTTTATAAGAATATTTCTCTTTATTGCTACAAAATATTTTAAGCAGCAATCTTACGGAAATAAAGTCGACTCCTCATGATGTGCCGAGAAACAGTCTATCTATATTTTCGCGCGTGTATCTACACGATATCATCAACACCGTATTATTCGCACCCTTGTTCCCAGAGTAGATATCTGCGTCCAATCGATACGACCAACCTCTGACCTATTATCGCAGCTTGGCAGCAAGTTCTTCTTCGTTATGAGATATCGTTTCGCGAGACTTAGATTATGGTTGCAGCCAATTATTCCGAGAAAACTGTTTCCGAGACGCGTAATAAACGATTAAAGGTACTTCGTTCGCTAAGATTATTGAATTTTGTTCTAAAGCATTTCACAAAAATAATAATGGAATTAATTATAATTTGTTATATACAATATATACATATCTATATGTTATTAATTCTGTAATTAAATTATCAATAAAGCATTGTAGAAGCAATCTATCATATGATATTGACCGTAATTATAGCAACTCTTCTCTTAGACTTTAAATAGCAATTTCTGAATTTAATAATTTTAGAGTAATATTGAAATTTTAAAAATGAATAATATTACTAATATCATTCACTTTCAAAATTTTTAGTTTTGCATAAAGCTATTACATAAACTAATTGCATAAACGAATAGATACAATCTCGAAATGGTAATTACCTCCGCAACTAAAGAGCTTGATGTTTTGAATCACAAAGTAGACTGGGATACTTAGACAGCGGTTATTTCCTTGATTTATAATTGATTACGAAATCCCGTGAACCTAATCGCGGGGACACATTGTAGATCGTATAACTCACGCTTAGAAATCTTGGTCAGTGGAATAGAACGCGGCAAACATGCACGATCTTGATTAGTCTAATTCGTGCAACGTGCAACACTTTACAAGCTCGCCAGGTTTACTTACTTCCATTGTAGGACTATGCGCGCAAGCTGATGTACGATACGTCTCTCGAGCATTCTGCTGACTCACATGTACATTGGTTGTAGGGTCAAGGCTTTTCTTACGTCTGTTTTGCTCAATGATACCGGAGTAACGCACGAATCAGGCACGCACGACACTATTATTAACCTAGTTCGCGGAAATTATCAATGACTTCTATCAGACGTCGTTTATATTTGAAAATTAATCACTTTTGTTGAGGCGATAAATGCTAACCGTGAGTTTCGCGAAATTCATGCTGATACATCAATATAATGTTCTCATTTCATTATCTTATTACATTATCTCTTTTCAACACTATCTATCTACTGCATTGCCTTTATATGTTTACTTGACGGACAAACAGAAAAGTTGCATGTAATTTCAGATGATTTTAATCAACCGACATAGATTAACGTAAACGTGCCTCTTATCATTTGTGCTATTGTTTCGTAAAAATTAAAGTTTTTTATTCATACAGAAAATATAACGCATTATCATAAAAAATCCAGAACAAGAAAAATTATCTTTAATGCAAAATACAGATTATCGTAAATAAAACAAGATTACGTGCACCCGCGCAATGCAATTTCTGTACTGTCTTTTTTGTTCCGATTAAAACACGCAGCAAAGATATTGCATGACCTAATCAAGGTCGTTATCATACGTCGTTATCATACGATAGCTTTGTGTGATTGGGGAATCAACACCGCGCCAAGTGATTACGGTACGATCTTGGTCAGCCTGCTGAGCCAAGCAGAAAACGTTTTCGGATCAAGTTGCTCCACTTAGCGGAACCGGAATCGGCTGCAGCGCCGTTGTAGCCATTAGATCGTGCTCTCGTAGGTATACCTACTGCGGAACCATATCAGCTCGCGGACTCAAGGGCCGTTTGTTTGGCTGACCGAGACCATCCGTATCTACTGACCCGTTAAGTCAAGAACAGACCCGCTGTACTTTATGCCCCAAACCCTTGGACGTATCTACCTCTCACGGTCGTTTATGTCATACGACAGGCTGTTACAATATCTTCTCTCGAACTTGTCTTTTGGATAATGCTAATATCAGTATCTACATATCAGTTCAGAAGTTTGTGACTGCGTCCTAAGACAGTAGTACAATTTGCAACAGGCTATTTTGACACCATTAATTTAAAGTTCTTTGCTTGGACTAAAAAAATATGCAACATATTGTCACTAAAAGGCTTCATTGCATTTTATGAAATAAAGTGAATCGTGATTCTTTACTATAATTGTTATAATAACAATAAAATTATTATATATATTATTCGTAAAAAAAATATTCTCAAAAGAGGATTCTCAGAAGAAAGATGCTATATCATATTGTTATACATAATTTCAATGCGTGCCAATGCTTATCCACTAATATAGTTATAATAAATTGATAACATTTTATTAACTGAATTGAAATCTATTTCTCATTCTTTCAAAAAAATTCTTTTATAATCATAATTCTTTAAATGTAAATAAATGCTAAGAGAAACGTATAAAAAGATTGTAATTATTATAATTTTAAAATACTGATTTTTATAAGGAAAATGTGAAATATGAAATTGTTGTTTGTTTATAGAACTGCCGGCGGTAGTATGCTGGGCGACGTGAACATCTCTGCGATACTGGACTCCTTTTCTGTCAGTTACGATAAAAGAGTAAGGCCGAACTACGGAGGTGAGTAGAGACTCGAGTTTCCCCATCTTACGATAAACGAGATCATTCGTGGATTTTATACCATGCGCAAAACTTGTCAATTCGACACATTCAATGTGTTTGATTAATGTTAATCATTTTCTAATTAATTCGCGCCTGTGAGGTAATACGCGTTCTAACAAGTTTTGCGTTCGGCACAAAGCCTTTTCCGTCTCATTGTTTATGATCGTTGCACTGTTACATGAATCTAAAACGTTACCTTGCAGCTAACGAAAATGAGAGAGTTAGACTGGCGAAAGAGACCAAATATTGACAGACCGGCAAAACCAATCAATTGGCGAACGAACAGAAAACCAGCATACGTTCTTTTAATTCCACTTCGTTCGCTGCAAGCGCAGAAAAAAGCTTTTTACGTGTGCTCGGATAAAAAAAACCTGCTACCGTATTCCAACCTTTAATGCAGTGCTGAGATAAAAGAAACTAAAGAACAGAAGACGGTGGGATAGATGTGTACGCAGGATTTAACTAAAAACATTTAATACGCGAAATCTATACGGGGATAAATCAAGACATAAAGCGCAAGCTTTCCGATTGCCTGTAACACAATGGCGCGACAACAACGACTAAAGCTTCGGCGAAACGCTCCAGGAAATATTTTTGACGTCGCTTATCATCTCCCACGTTTTACCCTACAAAAACGAGCTTTCGAGCGTACTAAAGCTTTCATAAAACAACTCTGACAGGAACAGTGCGGCAGCACGTGTACGCGAATCGCATCCTGTTTCCCGGCAAAGGAGTAATTTGCAGTTTACCACGCGGCTCAACCGCGCGACTACCGAAAAAGAAATACCGATAAAACGATGCGGCAGACAGCGCGCGCGTTTCTATCGCGGAGATAGAGAACGGCACGTGACTCCCCGAAGATAAAAGTGTAAAGCACAAAAGCGTTCTCTTTTAGCTCTTGATTAATCCGCAAAGTACACAGTTTGCACGTAATACGTAATAGGTAGGTACCGACTTTTGCGCGTGAACGGCTATTTCGAATAAAAGCCAGACGTCTATCGACTGCGAGCGCGATACGCGATTTTGCGGTCGAATAAACGCGATGCTTATAAAACATAGGGGATATTAAAGAACCATTAGTCCAGTTTCGAACGAGCACGCTCGCCACTCGGAGAGTCAGTTAGAGGCAATTAGTGTCTGGCAATTGACGGCCTGTCTCACTTTCGGGCTCGATAGGTCTGGCCAAAAAGTCCCCGCGCGCGTTCAGATCGGTTTCGCGGCCCGATTATCGATGCCGAGATATAGCTATACGATCATGATTCATATATGTCGATGATTCTATCGCGAAAAAGTCATATTTTCGGGGATGACCTCGTGGGGGTAGGGCGGGGCTGGAGCTGGTTTCGATAAAACTCGGATCGATGCTGGGACGCCCCACGGGGTTGCCACGGGTTACCGTTAACGGCATCTCCGCTCCCGACTACACCGAGACGCAGTATCTCGCCTTCAATTACGATTTTGACTTTGATTTTGTCGTTGCGTCGTATATAGCAGCATCTTTTGTCCCGGATTCTATTTCGAAACCGCACTCACATTTCGGCTCGGTGTCGCGATTGCTAAGACGTAACGCTTCGGTTTCATAATAGCTTCTCTATTTTTCTCCCCCCAAAAAAAGGATACAGAATTTGATTGACCGAGATTAATCATTTTAGTTCCACATTTTCGAAGAAGCTAAAATCGTTGACCGATATCTATTAGTCTGGTAGATATTCTTGTGTGCTCGCAGTTATAATTATTACTATTATAGGTCAGATATAAAAATCGAAAAAGAGCGGTTAACTGAATAATTCAGCTTCAATTCGTATGCTGAAGATAGTTAAAATTACAAATTGCAATTATCTGAATTCTCAGCTAATGCGCAATAAAATAAAATAAACACATATTCCACGTACTGTCATTTAATTACATTCCGTACAATTGTTAAACATGCAAAGTGTCTATATTATATGAATATTATTCAATTAATTCAATTTATTAAATCTGCAACCGCGCACGAGAATTGTTTCGCCTCAACACTATACATGAAACAATTCAAAATTTACCAACCAGCCTTCAATACAACAACACGCTTTACTGTTGCAATTGATGGAGAGATCGTGGTAAAAATATATATTAGCTTGATTTTCCAAGCTACATTTCGAATAAAATGCATTAATGATAGCTCACTCTGCAGTAAACTCGGGCTGACTGTCAAGGTATAAAAGGCGATCGTTTCATTTTCCGGCGGGATCACGTATACATCAGGTTGCTATCGGCAGATCGCAAAAAAGCGCACTAAATGTACCGTCTAGATTCGAATCGCCGATATCCGCGCCTCTCGCCGCTCCCGCGTGTATCGATACACGGAGAGATCCCCCGGGAGGATACGGAGTTTCTAACATTTAAAATTTAGATCGGTACGCGGACATTACGGAAACGGACACGAGAATATCGCGGGCCGACGGGATAAACCGTGCCGCCTGCCGCTGCTCTCTTTTCGATTCGTAGCGTGCTTCATTGGATATTCCCCGGAGCGCAGCCGGATTTTTAAACACGAGCTTCGCCGCTGCCATCCAAGGCCTATGTAAAATGACAAAATACGTGACCAGAAACTCGGAATGTTTGCACTCCATAAACTCGTTATCGTAATGACAAACAAAAACTTTTCGCATTCGCGTTAGAAAAGAAACTCGACAATGATAAAACCACAACGTTGACCTATTGTTAGATACAGCAAAAAAATTGATTAAAACAATAGAATTTTATACGTGCTTTATATTTATTTCATAAATATATACGTTATGGATATTTAATATAGTTATCAAGTACTTTTTTGTTTACGAAATAACGAGAAAACATCTATAAACTATTTATATTTTGTTAAAGATAATGTATTAAATTACTCAGTATAATATTCGACATTACATAACGCACAACAAAAGAAACAAGACATATACGTAAATATAAGAACAGTTATAATATAGTTTAGCTGTATCGGTCCACGCGGAAATTGATGACTGCGATTTTTCGATCCTATGCACTACGGCCGATTATTAATTTTTGTTCTTTTTCAGTTGCATCACATGTGTCTGGAATATTTTTTAATCTTTTTTTTTTCGAAGTATGCTCTCTCATGGGCGATCGGTTTACACAGGAGAAGCATACAGGCGCGTTTCAATTAACCCGATACCACGTCGGCCGTGCGTTTTCCAGCATGTCGCGAGAACGTCATTGTGAAATATGTGTCCCGTATGGGATGTTCCTCGGCTATAGGGGCTTTAAAAACATCCTAGAAATGGAAATGAAGATATATCGGTCGAGTGGCGCGCGATGGCGTTGGCAGAGCCGTTGTTTACGAGTCAACTTTATCGCGAAAACGCCAGCGTGAGCACGTATATGCGGCGGCCTCGCATTCCCTAACCCTTTCCATCGCGCTCCCACGGCCCCCTCGCTCCCCGCGCGCCCGACCGGGTTCTTCCCATCTGTACCTGATTTCCCGCCTTCCTTCGCCCTCCGCCCGAAGTTTCGTCCATAAACTTTTCTCTGCGGTGAGATACCGCCTGATCGGACGCGATTACATTTTTCCGCTTCGTCTTTGCGGCCGATCAATTCGACCGGCAGCAGCTTCGATTTCGTGCCTCACATCTGGCACGGACTACTGAAATTTTCACGAAGACCCTCGTCAGGTCTTTGAATTTAGATTTTCGCAAAGATTACGGGAGAAATAGCTTATGTCACGTCGCATATTGAAATACGTGACCGTAAACGACTGTTTATGGCCACGTATTTTAATGGATGTACCTTAATTGAAATTCGTTAAATTGTATTAAAAGATTTTATTAAATTCTATTAAAATTTATTAAAAAGTAATTGCGACGAGAGAAAAATATATTATATAAAATATATTTTTGAATAATCGAGCAATATCAGGCATGTTAAAAAAAATGAAAAAAAAAAGAGAACAAAAATTTGGCGAAGATAATTTTATAACATGCTTTAAAACTTGATATACCAGCTTACAGCTTTAAATAAACTTTAATAACTTATTCGCCTCAATTAAATCCGCGCGCGTGTAACATAAATCGCTCGATACAAAGCACGTCACAGCGCTGCGCATATAGATTAAGCCTATCTGCAAAACCGTCGTTGTGCAACTATGATGACAACCGAGCACACGTAAATTAGCGCATAAATTATTATCGGACATCGTCTAATCGAAAGCGATTACCACTTTCAGCGATCCATCCAACGTAGCGACCTCACCAACATATACCATTTCGCATTCACAGTAAACTCATAGAAAAAAACCGAAAAAAAAGAAACAAAAGAAAAAGAAAAGCAAATCTGTGTGATACTTGTAATTAACGAACGAATGCCATATACAGTCACTCTCACCGTGTAGCTTGGCCGCGGCCGAAAACCGGCGACTCAGTCTTACTAACCTTCGATTTCAGGTCCTCCCGTCGAGGTGGGCGTCACCATGTACGTCTTGAGTATCAGCTCCCTATCCGAAGTGAAAATGGTACTATACCTCTAGGTCTTACTCAGTAATTCCGCTGAAAGTTTACTCATTATTATCGTTCTCGGCTAAACACAATCCGCCCTCCCGACTCTCCCCAGCCCGCCCATCGGTCTCTTCGCCCAAGCGACCATACGTTTTCTTTTTCTTTAGCGCCCGTGTATTTTCAAGTCAACGATTGCCGTTGATCGTTACTGAATTGCAATTAGCATTTTTTACCCACCGACACACACGTGCACAGACACACCTGGGAGACTTAATACGCGCGGCGACACGAGTGCGGATGTATATCCGGTTCAACACTGTTGTACATACACGCGCACACGAGTGTGCATTCTTTTCGTTTGTCTCATCACCCTTCGCAACGAATGGAGCAATTATTGTTTCCAATTACTCAGTTACGTGTACAGCCTCAGGAGATCTTGCCTCACGCAACGTAATTCTAACTCTCTGTTTGTGCTATGTGTGTTTGTAACTATTAAAAACGTGTAAACATCACATTATTGTGTTCTCTTTCCTCTCGAAAACAGATACTTAAACATCGCACGACGTATTCAGGTAAATGATTTATTTAAAAAATCAACAGAGGTAACGAGAGAGCGACGCGCATGTTGATTCTAGGTCGACTCCAATGTTTGCATTAACAAACAATGTTCGTACATATCTATGCGGGTGATCTCTCATGCCGTCCGTGTTCGTCTCGGCAAATAATTCGTTCAAGTTGTTGATCACGCATTAATTGGAGCGATATTTTCAACGGTCGAGAGTCGGTCCAATAAACTATTCGTTGTTTAATATGTTCACCGAAGCGTGAATTATCTCCATATTGCCTAACGACGCTGTCGCGATTATTTCGCTTCGAACGCGTATACACATAACGATTGATTAATTGTTCCACGAGCTCGCGGCTTTAATTTCGCCTTGTTTTAGCACAACGAAAGAAATTCGATCCTCGGTGCCATCGATTGGAAACACGAGAGGCGCTCAACGATCCTCTCGCCGGTTCGTCATTGCACGACGGTACCGTCGTGTATCCGTCGATCGACACCCCGGCACGACGAAACCAATTTTAGCTTGCCATGCGCAGAGTCGCATCGCTCTGGGCTATGTGTGCTGCTCCTTTGATGCGCTGTTCATTTAACGACGACGTTTGGAACCGCGAAAATCGGGTAACACGATTACCGAAACGATTCAGCGCTCGCTTCGAGGACCTCGCCCGTCGACACGAAGCGACGTCCAATTTCTTGGCGCGTTGGTTCCGAGGCCAATTGAATTCAAACTATGCAGAAGAGAACTAATCGGTACTACGTATCTCGTTCCTCGACATTATGAATAGCACGTCTCTTGAACGAAATGAACGTTTAAACGAGGTAAAAGTTTTTCACATTTTTAATCGGAACGTAATGCATATTTAAGTTCGCCGTGAAAAAAGTAGATGTCAAAACACATGTTCATTAATCATAATATAAATTCATGATTTCTAGACATGTGATAAAATGCGAAATTTCTATCACTCAATTAACCGTAGAAAGGAAATGGGGGTTATTAATCTGTTTGATTTTACGGCATTTTGGTAGTACTTTAGATAGTTTAGATGGTACTTTACGTTTAGTTTTCGTTTGATATCTCATCTTCGAATATAACATTAAAACACCCTCAAGGACTAATTAGTGATTTGTAGAAAGAAAAATAGCAATTATCATTGTTCTCATTGACGAATTTTCCTTCTAATTATTCTAACTTTTTAAATAATACAAATTTTCTTTCACTTATGTAAATCAGAACAGCAAAATTATTTTAGTCGTATATCATCTCGAGACGTAGATATTTTATTGTTCCACAGGCGCGAAAGACAGCGCTACGTAATCACAGCATAAAAACGTCAATTCGGTAATCCGTATAAGGCGCACTTCGCAGACGTGCACGATGGCGATTACGCGACGCGGTTTACCGCTTGCACTTCGAAACTACCGAAATGAAGCTAACCAAGCCGAGTTGTCTCCTATAACTCATTTGATATATTGTAGTACCATGTGGCCCGTCCGCTTATCGCGGCACCGGTTTACACCGACGACGCAGGAATGAGTGTGCGCGTGTATGACTTTACACGCATTCTCCCATACACATACATAAACATACACGTATCACAGTTACACTTTAGTAGCGAGCAACAGAAAGAAACAGAAATATATACTAAAAAAAAATGGACAAAGTACTATTTCATATTTTAGATAATATATACTGGCTGTTCTCGTTCCTCGCTCGGGAAACGGAGCTGTAGTTTCGGCAACTGGAAGCAGCGAGACTGCGTGGATGCGGTCGCACATCGAGCTGAATCTCGAAAAAAAAAGAGATACAGCCAGACTCGTTCTAAATTATTGCGAGGTGGTTTCCGTTTAATGCGCGGGAACCAGATTTATTTAGAAAATAATCTCTTAACTTAGACGTTCGATGTGATTCATGCGCGCGAGCAACAATGTCGCGAAAAGCCATTAAAATTTGCGACACTGGCAAAAGAAGACAATTCTTACGGAATGTTGTGGATCAACGTCGAGACGAATTTTTTCAGTTGCCCCGACTACGTTTTCGTTTTCTGCGGGCGTGGAAAAGTTAGTTCACTGATTTCCTGCCTGAACTTTGAGCCTGGGCTGCCCCGAACGTCACGTAGTGTTAGAGAGAACGTGAATGAGGAGCGTCTTTTTATTGCTTTCTGCTCTCAGGGAAAAATAGTATTTTGTTCAATATATATTAAACACGCACGACCGTCCCGTTAGACCGTTTTTCTTAGACGCTCTAGCTGCTATGCCGCGGTTGCTGAGATGGGCTGCCGCCTGCCACCACTTACAATTATTATTATATTCTATGTCCCGCCACCCCCCGAAAGAAATCCCCCTTTGCCCGACACACTTCCGTCATCTCTCTGTCGAAACACCGCACGTATCACGCGTACGTGTATATACCAACACGCGAGAGAGAACAATCCGCGATCGATCTGTCTCGATCGTTATCCGTCCGAATTCCTTCCAGCAACTCTTTCGGTATTTCAAGGCATCCCCCTTCACCTCCCCCAGAAGCTATAAAAAAAAAAAGATAAATGGATTTCGCCCGGAATCGACGACCGCAATGACAATGACAGCAATTCAGTGTAAAGTAACGATGTCGTTCGACAAAAATGTTCGACAAGACGACGCGCCGCTCTCGACCACGGAGGGGCGTCTAATATAGGGCGGAAAAAAAACGACAATATATAAAACGAGCCATATCTCCCCGGGATACGTACACGTATAGCCACAACGAACCTAATTGGAATAACGACGTGAGACGAGTGATCGGCAAAAAAAAAACAAGATGCAAAAAAGCGAAAGAAAAAGCGAGAGGGTAAGAAAAAGCAAAAAACCACTATAAAGCAACGCGGTACGAAAAAAAAAGTAGTAGTAAGGTAATGTCATACTGCTACGTGGCTGTGATGTGTATGTAATATATACGTAAGAGCATAATGCCTATATGTAACGAGACAAGTATAGATGATTCTTCTAGCTTGGAAGGCAACGTGGCCGACGACGAGTCCTGTTGATTTGGTTCCGTGCAGGGTGCGAGCTCTCCTCGACTTGTCCGTTCACGCTTTGCCTCTGGCTCACACGGGACAGGCGCCCCGCGATCGCCAAAGCAACCCTCTCCGCGTGAACGACGTTGCCCAATTTGACCAAAGACTCGAGAGGGGGGAAGGAAAAATAAAATAAACGATTCGTCCGCGCGTGTCGAGCGTGATTTGCGACGTGGATTCGTATCGGAGCGCGTCGCGACGGGTTTAAATTCTTCTGATAGACATCGCGCGCAACATGCGAAACGCGCCACACGGCACGCAATACGACGTAGCGACCGTTTCAAAAGCACTTTAAAGATGCCAAAGTTTCAATGCGCGACGTAAAGCGCGCGTGAGTCAGAGGTAAAGGTAGATCTCGTCTTTATACTACTGTTTATTAATACTTATTGTCTCTAGATATCTGCTTATCTCGTATACACGAATAGGTCGTACATGGTTGATTAGAGATTGGCGGGTAATCACAGCGACCAAGGCCGGATGGTTTTGTTGATTGCAGGTCCGCCCGTGGAGGTCGGCGTCACCATGTATGTCCTCAGCATCAGCTCCGTGTCCGAGGTGATGATGGTACAGTTTGCATTCAAACTCTCTCATACAAACTCAACATCGACAATTGTCCGTTCATTTATTTCATCCAGTGTCTCGCGAACAAGCCACGCTCTCCCCTTTCCCATCCTCCACCCCTCTCTCGTATCCATCGTATCAAAAAGCGACAACGGGAACGTCCATTTCCGCCCGACACGGCCGTTTCACATTGCGATAGCACGATCGATCGTAATGCCAAAATTGTGTCGATACCGCTTTAAAGGGAGTTTTTAACCCACGCGTTTAATTGGACCGATCATCATACGTCGAGCGTGTACCTATCGTGAAACTGACGCCACCACCATCATTGATCGAATCAGCTTACCAGTCGCGCCACTTGCTTCCGATTGCGTCCACAGTATCATCTGTTTCGGCTTGTTTATTTGTTACCGCGTTACGATATGGCACGGATATTCACGTAAAAATATCCATGCCAATCGAAACACAGACCATTTCGAAATTTCGTTGCCGGATCGCTGTATACGAATGTGATTCAATAATAATGAAAATATATCGCCAAGTTCGCGTGGAGTCAGTTTTTGTTAACCGCAGGTACGCGCGTACGCGTGCGGTTAACAAAACCTTACATTTTTATACGTATTGATTCGCAAGAGTAAAGTCTCATATAAAGCAGCAACGTAAACCAGGCGATATCTCGGCGCGTATGTTCACATCTGCTTAAATCTCGAGTCGTTCCCGATATCTGGTCGCGGAAAGGTGCACCAGGGGAAATACGTACGACGCGCATAGCGATGTTTATGTCGGCAGCAAGGGGCGTATCGACACATAGCCACACGGTATAAGCTATACATCCACATACACACGTCCCCCATGTACCTTCGTACACGTGGAGATACATACCGGTATACACACTAACACACAAGCGACAATAGTATACACACGGATGGCCTACTAACCTACGTTTTTATAGCTCGTCACAGCTGTTTGGTTGGCTGAACTGTTACAAGGGAACCTTGCTACGTTCCACAGTCTTCGCAAGATATATTCTTGTCCACTTCGTTTATGGTTTATGGTTGAGTCGTTTGATTCGATTTGCGATGTTCTTGTTGCATGGCCCTACCCGCGGTGCTCGACCCGACGATAAAAGGACCCGCGGCTTTTGGTTTCGTTCGAAACGCGACGCGCGGAGATCTAACGTGGAAAAATGTCCAGGAGAGACCCCCGACGGACGCCCCGTGATGACGGCAAACGCGCGACCTTTTAATCCCGCGAGGGAACATTAAATCCTCTTCGCGATATCGCGTCGCTGCGAACCGTTTCCCGTTCGAGGGGATCGTAAATAAGTCAAAAATCCGAGCACGACTTACCGTCTTCCTAAATCCACGAGGCAGAAAATTCCATCGGGTTTCTCTCTGAAACACACAATGTAGTATGCGTATTATTGAAAGTCATTCAAAACCAACAAATACTTATACGAGAAAGAATAAAATATATAAAATGGTAATGCGCGATATGCAACTGTCTTATGTTCCAATATGATTAATTGGCAATAAATTGAGAGTTTCGGATCGAGCACCGTAGGCCGCACTACGTTGAGACACGTCAGTATACGCGTGATCGTGCACTCTTATGCGCTCACATTTGTACATAAGAAATGCATAAAAGTGTACCGTACGCGTATTCTGCGTCATTGATACACGTATATATATCTATATTCGTATTTGTTTCTCAATATATTTAAGGTATATAGCGGCACCGTAAAACATATTGTGTATTACGCATAATCCTGTAGTAATTGAAGGTATTTCTCGTTCCGGTGTCGACAATCAGTTTCAAACTAGCACGGTAACTGGATCCATCCTCTATCGATCGCATCTCGAAGTATGCGCTTTGGATTGTAGACCTTTAACCCGTTTATCCGGTAACAATTATATCAGAAATTAAATTCGTCGGCAGGAATCTCCATCAGTATTCTGACGTAATCAGAGTCTTATCAGTAGATCGCCCGAAATCGCAGTGAACGTATCCGCGCGACCGAAAAGATTCGAAGGAAACACGCGGTCCGCGAGCGCGTTGTCGATCCTCCGCGCGAGCCCCGGGTACGATAAAATTTTTAGAGCTTTCGGTTCGTGATGAATTCCAGGGCAGCGGCGGTAACGTTGACTTACCGCCGCCCGAACAGCATCGACTCTATCCTGTGAGCTTGCGGTCGAGTCTCTCTCTCTCTCTCTCTTTCTCTCTCTTTCTTTCCCCTGCATATTTGACGCGTAATTGCGCGAGGGGAAAACGGCGCGTCGATTCTCTCGTTCACCCCCCGGAGATCCAGAGTACGAGTTTGGAGCTGAATGTACGAGGCTGGACCCCAGGTGTTGAGCCCTGTGCGGAAACCAAATCAAGTCGACACTGTCACCTGGGACGTGACGCGCGAGTTTTTACACCCGCTGGCGAGTTTCCCGTTACGTATCCTCTTTTCCCGGCCTTTTGTCTCGTTTCCCCCTTGCCTTGTCTCCTCGTCGCGAAGCGACTTCCAATGTCCATCCCTCGAGGGCCACTCTTCGGACTCTCTCCGGCCGGTGTATCCGCGAACAACGAGACGATTTTCCTACCAATTTATCTTCCCTTTCATCGTTCGAAAAAAAAAAATCGACGAGCACAGGCGGAGAGAATAATACGGTGAAAGCGTCTTTATGCGCTCGTTGATTGTAGTCCTCTCGGCCGGAGGAAACCGAGAAAAGAAGGATAAAGCGGATGGAAAGAGCAAGAAAGGAGAAAAAGTATCGATAGAAGATACCCTGCGGCCCTCGAAGAACGAGATATTTCCTTTCGCCCTGTACCTCCTCTCCACCCTCGGCCAGCCGATGATTGCATACCAAATATGAAGAGTATAGCTCGTGCGACGTTACGACTACATCGAGACTATACCGATATATATAATTGTATTTGCATATATATCTCGTATATATCTATGCTATTATATCGTAAATATACTATGACACCTATATGAGCTGTGTCATTGTCAGTGTGTGCAGTGCGCTTCTGGTTGCTATGAATCACGTCACGCTATATATATATTGTATATATATCTATATATATTACGATTTCTATGAGCGCGAGCGCGTGTTACGTGCACGCGCGCGCGGTATATGTGCGTAATGTGTGCGTGTATGTGTGTGTGTGTGTAACGTGCACACGTGCGTTTTGTGCGCGCGAAAAGCCTGCGTTTATTGTACTGTGTGTACTTCTCGGTGTGTGCGTATGTGTGTGCGTAACGCATAGCCATACGAGTCTATGTGCTTTGCGCGTACACATCGCGGTAATTCGCGCTCGTCGAGGCACGATGGACTCCGAAAATGGAGCGTACCTCCTCGTACGAGCCCCTCTCTCGCTTCCATCACTTGTCGTACAACACTACTGTACCGTTTTTTTTCCTATTCTTTTTTTCTCTCTCTTTCTCTCTCTTTTTTTTTAGATCGATTGGCCTGCGAGCTTTTGCCTGAAACGCTTCCACAAAGCTTTCCTCTTGTTCTTTGTTTTTTTATACGCTACGATTTGCGTGTGATAGAGATGCTTGCGCACACCTGCTCGCATTCCTCCCCGGAAAATGTTTCACCGGCAACGAGACGCGCGTACCCGCTCGAATTGCTCGATTCACGCCCAAATACACCGTGCAAGATTTGCGTGCCGTCGAGATAAGCGTGAGAAATATTTTCACGTGCAGTTAAACAACGACCAGATATAGTTTACATCTAAATGTTTCGGTATTTTACCGAGACACATCAATTACACGATCACATTAATAAATAGATAGTTAATAAATAGATGCTTTGCATTTCCAAATGTAGCAACAATCACAATTTTCTCCTAATTTCCTCGAAAAGAGAAAGCCATAAATGTTTTTCAATTGACATTTTGTGTCATAATAACCTAATTCAAGATCAATATTCATTTTCAACAAAAGACAAATGACTGAACAATACATCGCGATAGTTGCAAATTGTAAATTATACATATAAAGAATGGGAGAAAACGAAAACAGGAACTATAAGTCAAAAGAATCAAAATTTGGAAATTATTTCTCGTGGGAGTTATTGATCAGTTAATCATACGAAGATTTGTTAGCGCGGCAATTTCACGTCATCACGATGTAACCGCAGTGCGCCTGAAGAGCTGCCAGAAACGCGAACGATGACAACTTCTGTTCCATACGGCATCTCCACGGGATATTTCAAGCTCTTTCATATTCGCCGAGGCATTTGCGCGCGTTTAAAACACGAAATTAATTATCTACCATACATTCATCTATCTATTTTTGTCTATTGTTATTAACGCGCTATTAACAATGTGATACAATTAAATCGGTATGTAAATTATCACTTATCTTTCATGTCTATCTGCATGATGAAATCGTGATCGTTCAATTCTTTACTTGCGAGTCTTTAATTAATCGCTAAGTATAATATAATCGACGCTAAAATAAATCGAAAAATGTGCAATGGAATGAGCCGCAATGTGCCACCCGTATTGAATTCTTCATAACGACGCGAATTGCAGGAAAAGTCTTCTCATATGCGCGCACATGTCGTCGAAAGGGATGACAAGCAACGCCTCGGGTCGAATTCTCCCTCTTGTCACGGAGTCGTGACATCTTATTGGAGTTGTAAAATTCCGAACTTTATTTCCAAAGTATTCCCTAAAATTTTTTGCAATTTTACGCCCACCGATAGTTATAAAAACTTCGCTAATAATTATCGTAAAATTTATGGTTGCCAGCATCGTTACCGTATAATCGAGCGGGAAAAGGTAGAACAAAGTAAAAGCAAACAAATAAAATTTAATAATGATCCTCATTAAATGTAAAAAAGAGTTGAATCTTATATCACGACTTTCACTATACAAACTTAATTTTTAATTATGAATTATAAGATTCAAAGAATTCATTTCAGAGACGGTAGGGAATTTCTGCACTGTTCTATTACAATTGTTATTCAAACACATCATGCTGCATGTTCACCAAGAAAAAGAAGAAGTTGCCATTGAATACACGTATTCAATTAATATTCGCACTGCTGGCGATAAAAGCGATACGCAAAGATGATCATCAAAAATTTTAAAGGTGCTATACCATCCATCCCACACACACACATACAAAATACTATCTTCATGTAGCGCGCGGTGCATGAATTTTATGGCAGTTTCGTGGCATGTCTGTACGTAGTGATTTCGTCGTAAAATACCTGTTTTATATGTATGTATATATACGTAGTCACTATACATACACGGTCTCCACACCTTATCTCGTTCGCGTGTACACACGAATTATACCCGCGTCGCGAAACTCCTGTCCTGTGATCGACCCCACGTCGCGTCGGCAGGAATCTCGATGCTCACGAGGCGTGCAGGTCACGCGTGTGTTCTCGCGTAAGAATACGAGTTCATAATCGCGCTTAGCATCGTAATTATAAACTATTAACTCACCCGTCGTAACTGTGCGCTATTACGGCAGGGCTCGTATCTAGATTCTTAACGTGTCTCTGCAATATATAAGACTAATTGGAAACATTGCGTTATAATGGAACAAGTATAATATTACAGTAATAAATCAAATAATATAGCATGTGTGTTATCAACAGATCATTACAACGTAATGATCAACACATGGATATCTCAAACTAATTAAAAAATAACTATACATTCAAATTATTAACAAAAAATATAGCTAGCATTACGTGTATATTTGGATTCATATTATTTAATAATAACGTGGTGAGATTGGCAAACTTGTTTAAAGTCTTCAATCAAATATAATTTAATAATTATTAAATTTTATTGTAGTTCAATATTCAATAATATAGTGAGACAACGAAACCTCATCAAGATATCAAGCAAGTTTTAAGCATATTCCCTTCAGGATTTCTTGCTATAATAGCGAGCCGATTAAGAAACTTCTACCTTGGATAATAAATCTGCTCATCTATTTCAGTTGAACGCGCTCAACTCTCACTTCTCAGTTTAGTACTTAAACTTCCTCAGCCATACGAATAAACGTTTCAGCGAAATCGGCAGTGGAGTAATTTAGAAAGCTCGTGACATTGCCGACGAGTTTATTTCGGCGCAGAAACGTATTATTTGTATAATATAGCTGTGATATTATTGTCTTCAATTCCATATGAAAGAAATTTCTTGACTACAAAATCTCCCGTTATTATTTTCAACGCAACTACGAAAGCTTAAAGTTTGTCTCTTTTATTATTATATCGTGAAGTTTCTGTAATATTAAAAACATTCAGTTCTTTGCGAATCATAGCAAACTAACATCTGCGAATTATTATACAATTTCCAACTTAATTTTATTTAATTCATATACGCGTGATTTTATCTGTTTAAACCAAATTCTCTTGTACAATATATTGTTGCATACTGCTTACAATGAAAATATCGCAAGTTATTTGTCAACAAAATTAAATTTAAATAAATAAATATTTTTCAGACTTTAGTATTTAATATAATGCCACGAGGATTCAGTAATGGAATCGCGCGATCGTCAATCACACGTTTACCCGAAATCACTTTCGTCCGAGTTGTTCTCCGCATGTCGCTCAAGCCACGATAAACGCTCTTGCGAGTGTGAGACCCAATGATGGAGCGCTCCACAAAGCTCTCGAAGTTGCCGTCGCAACTTCGGACTTTATAGCCGCGCCGCGCCGAATTAGCCTCGCCTCGTTTCACAGCGTGGGGTCAAGTAGAACACCGGAGGAGGTCTGGATATATAGATGGTCACGTAAGCGTTAAGTGGCTGATTCCACGTATTACGATAACCGCGACGAGCCGCCTCGATAAGCTTTCGAAGGTGCCTGTCGACGTTCGCGATCCCGAACGTGTTTCCTTTCCCGTATAACTCTCCTTGCACGAATATCTCTTCCGAATTAGACCACAATCGTTATTTATCTCGCACAATCTTGCGTTCCCTCTTGCGTAGAAACGCCATACGCCTTTTCAATCTCTTGAGATTTTATACGCTCGGACTTGTGAGAAGAACGAGGACTAACGTAGCATTTCAAATTGGCTTCTGTATGCTCTGTTTTAAAAAGATTTGCAAACGTTGAAAATGTTCCTCAGTGTTTTCAACGACTAATACACAAGCCATTTGTTGTTTAAATTTGACTAACAAGGAAAACGCACTTTGTGAGTTACTGATATTTATATAACATTCACAAATAATATCTGTCTTAAATATGTAATTAATAATATTAAATAAAGTTTTATATCTTAAATGTAAATTGTTATTGTATTATGTATATTGTTATTATTATATCCATTTTATTATTAAATTGTTAAATTTATTCATAATTTCCACATTATTTCTATTTTTAAAACAATACGTATTGCACAAGAATAACGCTTTATTCAAAAGATACGGTTAGTGATAATAAAGATAACTCAACAACAAATCGCTTTTTTATCATTTTCGGAGCAACAACAAAAAACACGATATGTGTACAAAATACGGAAAGGCTTACGTGAATCCTCGTATTTCTCCAATATGTCTGTGAACACAAACGACTACCAAACTAATAAGTCACCTGTGTCGTCCACCTGTTACCAGGACTTCACGTTGGATTTTTACTTCCGACAATTTTGGACGGATCCACGACTCGGGTTCAAGCCGCGAACGGGCGTCGAGACGCTCAGCGTCGGTTCAGAATTCATCAAGAACATTTGGGTACCCGACACCTTCTTCGTCAACGAGAAGCAGTCGTACTTTCACATCGCTACCACCAGCAACGAGTTCATTCGCATTCACCACTCGGGGAGCATCACGCGTAGCATACGGTGAGTAAAACAGCTTATAGCTTCCAACCCGTATCATCTACGGTTATATACGTATAAAATGGAATATATATCCGATTTACACAGTAATATTTTTCAACCGTCAGATTTTTTCATTGTAAATCCAAGTTTGAAAGTCATCTAAGTAAGCTCTTTTTTTTCCATCATTATGACGAGGCTTAATTTAGATAATAATAGAAAAGAAACAAGATATGTATATAATACGCTACGTTGGTGAGCAATAGATAAAGGTTAAAAGATGTTTCTTTCTTCGAGCCAGTTAAGTGGATTTTATCCTAAACTGTTACTTTCATCGTCCGAGGGAAAACGTTGATGATATTTTCTACCGCGAGCTCATTGTCCTCCATCACCATAGAACATTCGTGGCACTTCTGGGACCAATTGTGCCCGGCGCGACAAATTTGTTCCCTGTAGCGGCCTCCACCCTCTTCTCGCTTAACACAGCCCCATATCATTCCTCGTATCTATCCCCTTCCCGAGTGCCCGGGAGTGTTCCGGTATTAACGCGCCGGCTATATTCAGACGATCCATGCATACCTAACTTGCACTCCCTCGTGCAATATCGTTCCATTATATTACATCCCCGACTTCCGGATCGGAAGTGCCAAATCGAGCCGCTCGCTGTCGGGGAACGAAAGAAGAATATCGATGAACCGAGCGAGCGCGTGCTCATTTGCGTGAATAATTCTTCCCCGCTTCCAGCGTATAAGTCATCGATCACTGTCCGCACGAATCATGCGAATACATACGTCTGTATCGTTTCGTATAATACGTCTCATCGAAGACGAGAATAGACATGTATTAATGGTACGTCGAATCGATACGGATTGGTTCTTACACGTTAATCCTGACGTGACTCCGGGCGTAATGAGGTCGACTACGAATTAATTCCCGCACATTGATTCAACGTTACTCGGGTGCAAATGGATTGGCTGCGAGAATCCCTGCATTCGTATATCATAAAACATTTTGTCGAGAAGCGATTGTTAAACCGGCTTTATTGAATGTGTTTCAGCTTAACGATTACAGCGTCGTGTCCCATGAACTTGCAGTATTTCCCGATGGACCGGCAACTGTGCCATATCGAGATCGAGAGCTGTAAGTACGCAACGCGCGTGTGTGATGTACATACGTATACTTATACATATTACATATATAGGTGCATACGAACAAACGAAATACTATTTCACAGAATTCGACATTCTCGCCTAGTTCTACTCGACATACTTACTACACATACTTTTGCGCATAACGAAAGTCAGAGAGACTTTCCTTGCACTTCAATATAATTGCATATTACTTTCCAAAATGACAATCGACTCACCGTATCCTTTTGACGTCAATCGTCGAGCACGTGCACGTAATTTTAAAAGAGTAAAACTGTTAAACACAGTATAACGTCAATCTCATTTGATAAAAATAAAATTGAGAAACGACTATCAATTGGTGTATCACTGAAAAAGTCTGCGGTGTCACGTTTACTCTCTAGTTTCACGATTAGCCGTACCTATACCAGTTCTCGCTGAAGCGGATTGTAAAACACGAACGATCAATTTCAGCATGTGAACTCGTGCATGTGAACTCGAGAATAACGCCGAAAGCGATACGCAGAAACTGTCCTTATCGATAGCCGATTGTCGCTGATTCAATGCGATTCAATTGTACATCGCTTTGAACTCCTTTTTTTCAGATAAAGACATAGAAAGACGCTTCTACTGTGTATATTTGCGTCGAGCATTAAAGAAAAGAGAGAACACTTCGTGTTCCCCCCTTTATTACACGCTCACACAGAGAATACTGTCAACTTCCATAACCCCCCCGTCACTCTTTTTTCTCCACTTCTCCCTCTCCTCCCTTCTTCCTCCCTCAACTACCAACGGTCTCTGCCTCCCCTCTCGCCTTTTTCCCGACATCAGATTTTACTTCCTTCTTTCTTTTCTATCTTTCCCTCTCTATCTGTCTATCTGTCTGTCTGTCTGTCCGTCACTCGCCACTTCACACGCTCACTCACACGATCAGTCAGCCACACAAGTGAGAATCACTCCCCCATTCACCTCGTTCACTCACTCGCTCACTCACCCGCTCTCGCTCACACACACTGGTTGGGTTTCTTTTTTTTTATTCCATACACAGTGATTGTACGTATGTAACAACGTGGACTTTTGCAGAGTCGGGCATTTATTGCAGCCCACCCTCCTTTTTCACTTTTCTCTCTCGCAAAGCGCGCGCGAAAATCGATGAATAAACAAAATGTGAACATACATTTTAAATTTAAGCACAAATATGGCAAATTTTTTTTCCTCTGTAAACTTTATTTTAAAAAAGGAGAGAGAAGATGATTCTCTCTGCAATAAATAATGTACCCGCGAATAGTCGGAACCGAAGAGGATGTAATCTCATTTTCCTTTGTCCCACGCAGTTATGATTTAACAATGAAAGCCCGATTCTGCTACTGAGCACAGTGTGCGGTCAGTAATAAGCACCTTAAAAAAGGAGCTTCGATGCGCCGTAACAACGGCCTCCGTATCGATGCGCGCACTATATACGCAACTGTGAGTCGTCGACGAGACACGTCTCGATTAATCGAGTCGCTCCGTTAGACTATAAGCATAGAAATCGTAGGTTGACCAGTGGAGCTGTGATGCGTCGTGGAAACATTCCAGTGCGCAAAGACACATGCGAGAAGATTATCACCGCGTGAGTGAGTGTGAGTGAGTGCGTGCGTGTGTACGTGATGTGTTTGATAGCGCTAACGTTTCACTGTCACGAGCTCGTGTTGATTGTCGTCACTGCTGCAAATTGCACGGTGTGTTAATACGCAAAAATGCGAAAGAGAATTTCGCGAACGCCCTTTTAGAATCGTTTCGCCATTTATACGATATATTTTATTACGCGAACTAATTACCGTTGTTTATTGATACTGGCATTAATAATTCGCGCACACGATAGCAAATTTACCGCGCAAATTGCCTGAATAAGTCAACGCGATACGGTTAGGTTCAAATCACCATTATAATGAAGATTACATAATGAATAATTAGAGAAGTATGCATAAACACTTGCACTTAAAAACCATTATATTTGCAGAGGTGCCAGTGGAAGATTTGTAAGAAAAACATTTCAACATGTTAAAAATAGTTAACGTAAATAATTGCGTGCTTCTCATTTGACGTTTTTGATCGTCGTTCCACAGGCACACAGAAACGTTCGAACCCGCCGATTTATTCAGGATGATGGAAAAAGTTTGACTTCAACTCGCCCCCGCTAAAAGATCTATATTAAAACTCAGTCGGTCGTGGAATAGGGTCGAAGGGTCACCGGAAGTCCGACGTACGAGATACCTACCGCAGGGGGAGTCGACCAAGTTGGTCGATTAGTTTCGTCGAGTAGAAAGCTCGGACTTTCGTGGGCGCCCTTTCGTCCTTAATTGGTCGGACTGCTCGAATACGAGTTATTGCGATCGTTATAAGTTGTCGCGATACATTCCCATCATGAATTACCGGAGAATGCTCGCGCAAATCGCTAAACTTTCGAGATGATTCGAAAGATTTACAGGCTCCCATTAACTTTTATTCGAGTTCGACTGAATCTTTGTCGTTTTCTAATTGAAGTTCCGCGACGAAGTAAACAGACAACTAAACTACGGTTAAAGTTAACCAATGTCAATAAACTCGATCATTAGAAAGATAAATATCGCTTTATGCCGTAAATGTAAATCGTTAGATAGATCATTAGATAGACTGATAATGATGGTTTATTATAATATTATTTTCTGAGGGCTTTTTTAAAGACATTTCACACACACACACATTCACTAATTTTAGCATATTCTCCGCTTAAAAACTGTCAAGCTAATAATACTACGGTTCTCATGTAATTCAATTCTGTGATTGACCCAAACTCTTGGTTTCTATTTATAATCGTATAGAGATTTGATTTGATCGAGAACGTTTCCGCGCGTGAATTCTGCCTGAAACGTATCACGGCTGATCTATAAAAAGAAAAGGCATCAGAAAGGCACCGAATTTGTAGAACTCTGGAGAGTTTCTTGATTAGTTTCAGATAGAAAAGTGTCGGGTCACGAACATCGTTTCGCTCTTAACTTAGCCATTAAAAGAGATATTATTACCTCTCACCGTATCGATTTCCACACGATATTGAACAAGGATAGTTCACGAGTATTTTTGCAATTGCCAATTTCTCACGGTCTCTCTTTCACTGTATATGAACAAAATAAAATTACTCTCATCTTATCTCATTGTCAGTCTCGTGTTTCACCGAATCGCGGATATCGTAACAAATCGTACACCGTCGTAACAAAGGGTAAGAGCAGACGTGCAATTTGCAGTAATCTCAGATCATAGCGGATCGCATATCCGTGCTCGTCGACACGAAACGACTGCGACTCTCATGTCAAAAAAACGACGATTCCAATTCTGCATTTCCACTCGTGAGGTAGCTTCAACTATAAAAAGAAGCGATACCCATCAATTCCAAACTACCAATACGTTTACAAGACACGCTTTGTCACATCCTACGCAAAGACCGTATGCGAACGTATTTATGAGCATCCTCCGAAGGGTCTCCACTTTACCAAGTTACCGCTGACCGTGAGTCGTCACGTCGGTCTTAGCTGAACGCGTGATTTCTCGAAGGTCGCTTGCTCGCGGTCGTTCAACAATAAATACGAATAAATAACCGTGCGCATGTATCTGCCACGAATAACTAAAATATACACGACGTATCCTCTTTCTACACTCTGTCGCTGCCAAATGAAAATGTTTCGCGGATTACATACGTGCACACAATAATAACAATCGTCAAAAAAAAATTCGGCGATATTCAATTATCACTCATCGATAAGCTGCGTGAATTGAGCGAGAATCTTTTTTTCATAGTTCGACAGAAACACTGTAATAAACGTATGTAATCCGCGTATACATGACGAACACATCTATACAGAGAATGGAATCTGTTCTGTCTACAAGATCGGCGATTTCCTGCGAAAGGGACCTACATATGTTCAGGGAGAGAGATCACGCTGAACTAGAATAAACCACCGAAGCACACGCACGATTGTAAATAATATACAAACGAGAGCTCTCGGCGCGCGGTCGCCGTAAATCGATCCCGAGATCAACAACGCGACGAAAGCGCGCTGTTTTTCAAACACTGTCACTACTTTGTCACTCGCCACTACCACTGACCACCACCGCCATCACTTAAACTATCACTTACCAACCCTCCTCCCTTCCGAACCTGAAGGGCCTCCGACATATAGCACTGAGCCTCGTGTCCGGGGACGTAGTAAGGGCCGACGACGGCCAGCCCCGAAGGAGGCTAAATCCAGAAACGACGTGTCGACAATGGTCCGACCGAATTAAAACGCATTGTGCATCTAGCCCAGCGCATGTAAGAAAAGACTCTAATATTACCCATGGCGTACCACGCTGTGGTCACGTTATCGGTATGCCTATATGAATTTGCTTGTGACCTGATTTTTTATCTGCGACTTGTTCCGGTACGTTCCCACCCCCCTCGACCTTACTCGAGCAACTTTTGTACGTATAGTAGAGCATATAGATATTATTTAATATTGTTCGGCAACGGCATGTGTCGGCATGGTTATTTAAATTTTTGGTCCACTCCAGAGCAGGATAAAAAAAATAAGTAAGTGGTACATTTAAAGATATATAGTTCGTGCGAGTTACTTTTCTTTTTCTTTTTCGTAATGACGACAATATTTCATTTGTCTTTTTCGAGATTTTTGGAGAGATTTAACTTCTACGTAAAAATAACATTTAAACATTTTTCAATTTTGCATCAGTATTGACTGTGCTTGACAAGATAAATCGCACTTTTCGAGAATCTACACTCTAGATTATTACATTACGTAAAAGTAAAAGAACCACCACAAGAACGCAATTCCTTCTCGTTGTACATACACACACCAAACAAGCCTGATTAACTGATTCGAATCCTGATTCGAAAAGGCCTCGATAATATTGTTCAACGATAACGTTTGAATTTTAACAGAAGGCGACCGTAAAGCCGGTATGGAAATTCGCGCGTTCCTCGCAAAACACGGAGCATGGAGAATGGAGCATGTAGCATGGAGCATGGAGCATGTAGCATGGAGCATGCAGCACAGCAAGGTGAAATGCGCGGCGTAAAGCATGTAGCACATACATGTAAATCTACGTAATCCCCCGTCCCCCTCTCCCTCCCCGAGCCTGTACGTGTCACTGTAGCATGCCGAGCACAAAACTCTATTTTTTTCTTTCTGCTTCTCCATATCTACTTATACACTCTCCACTCTTTTCGTCTTAAACCTAAACTCGCTGCCACTACCATAGTCCCCGGTATTTTGCTAATGTTGCCGCAGTCTTCCTCCCTGCAGTATTCAACAGCCACCGCCACGGCCCCATTCCCCGTTCTCCTCCGACCTTTTTACCCTTCGTGATGCTTAATGTTGCCCCCAGTGTCCAGGACCTCTTTATTAAAACTTTATAAAAGTATCTTTGTAAAAGTATCAATTTTTATCTGCGCTGCACTTAATTATGCGACGACCATCGGCAGAAATAACAACCGAACGAACGAACGAGCGCACGTAATATTTTTGCAAATCTTATTTTTTTTTAAGCATGGTCATTATTGCTCGCGAACGCGATTTTCTCATTCCGTAATTTCTTTTTTAGTTTCGTTTGCAAGTATAATGAGGGCTTGCAATAAGAAATACAATTAAAAGATGAAAAAGATCAAGTACAAAATGCATCTGATCTGAGATATTATAAAACGTCAGCATCACACTATTCTCTCATTAATGCGACAAGTAAATTTTTTTATGTTGACCGCGGCGAACAAGACCTGACGTTTCCAGAGCTTCGGACCGCTAGTGTTGAACACGCCTGTTGCGAATCGTAACGTCATTATCGGAGTCGTGATTTTGCCGCATGCAGCTGTGTCCACCGTGCGGAATCGCGTCGTAGTACCGAACGTGATAAAACGCGGCGACATTCGAAATCGGATTCCAAAAACAAAAGCAATTAATCTGGCATATTCGGAGGCTTACCGCTTAATCCATGTTTGGCCGATGCTCGCGCAATGTAGCCGCCACCGCGACGGAATGCCACTTTGGTGCCTGGAATGCGGTGTAACGATCGTAATCACCTAAGATTCAGTTACGGAGGAATGTTTCTCGGTGCGGTATGTACGCGCTGGAAGGCCGCGCGGAGGCATTAGAGGGAACAAATAGGCGCGAATTATGATCGATAATCGTCAAAATCCGATCGCGGGATATTCATTGGTTGGGAAGGAACACAATAGAGAGATGAGACTCGCCAAAGTTGCCAAGTCAGCGTGCTGCATTTATCTCACGGTAAATCTGTATTTCACACAGCGAAAAGAGGAATATCATTAATCGACATCGATATCATTAATCGGCATCCCCGCGTGGCCTTGGACGTAGTAACCGCAAAACGTCATAAACGCTTCAGAAGGCATTATTTTACGAAGAATAGAAGATCAACATAAATTAATACAAAATTACAATCTTCTTTATATAAATTAAAAAAAAAAAACAAGATATTCAAAGCCGAAACTTATATAAGATAAAATTATCTCTACTTATACCCTAAATCTCTAAACTTTAATATAAGAAGAGATTCAGAATTCACGACGGCTCTCCTTTTTATAACTATGATATTGGTCTTGAAAATTTTAGAGTACTTTTTTCTGACTTCGGAAAATATAAACGACTATGTTATAGTTAAGACTAAAATGCCTATCTCGATGACGTTTATGATGTAACGGCACGGAGGGCATCCTAAATCGATTCCGCGCACAGAGAGAAATTTATGCGACAGAATTGGATCGTGATGCGACAACCGGAAACCGCTTTAGGTTGCTCGCGCGACAACTTTGCTTCTAATTACTGTACTCCCACGAGGAAACCGCCCTTCCGTCCCAAACTGAACACTACCTCAGTGTCTAATTATTGTATGTTAGAGCGAAGATATTTGTGTTCTTGTTCTCCCGGCAGTTGGATACACAATGCGCGATATTCGGTACAAATGGAACTCCGGCCTACAGTCGGTCGGCATCTCGAACGAGGTGGAACTACCGCAGTTTCGCGTGCTCGGTCACAGGCAACGACAGACAACCATACACCTATCTACAGGTAGATATTCCCCTCTTATTCGTTCTTCCTTCTAAACTTGGTCCAGAAGTTCGCGTGGATAATATATGTATGTATATAAACTGTGTACAAATGTCGAATGAAAACAAATAACGCCATCAAAAAGTGAAATGGCAAAATTTTTTCAACCGCGAAATATTTGCGAATACCAGGCCACACTCACACGGGCGATCACGACTTGTCCAGTTTTCGATGCATGTATATATGTACGTATATATACATGTATATAACAGTATGTATCGAGAACTGGACAAGTCATGTGTGAGCAATATATACATATATAATATGAATCCTGTTTTTACCCGCATCGATGTGCACCGATCACTGTGTTGTCTTTTCGCGAACACATTTAATTATGTAAGAACGAGCTTGCTCAGTGGGACAGCGTAGTCCTACGGCCATTCATTTCGACCGATCGACTGATCGACTCATAGGTTCTTATCTACACTACGGAAGACCCAGACGATAAGTCACGCGTATCCATCGTTCCCAGATTTGGTTTCCTCTTCACTACAAGATGGACGTTGTACTATTTTTTACCCTCACTGTCATTACATGTCAATATATAGATATTAATACTGATTTACAATATTAATATAAACATTTTGATCTTGAGAGTTTCAAGTTTAGATTCCCGCTCAATACGCGAATAATGGGTTTCCACGTCTCTATAACAGATACGTACGCTATACGAGCTATACAAGTTGCTAATGGGTTTCAGGAATAGTATTACGTCCACCTTTGACCTAACATCCACTATCCACAACATCAAAACAATAATCGACACAACGGACTCGTAAATACGGATAATACGCGCCTTCCGCTTCTCGATCGTACCCAACAATCGAGAAGATCGTCCATTACGATCTCTCATTACATGCCAGATATTCCGCCCACATGCTCCTTTAAAGTCAGTTTAATTTTGGGCTCTCGATAGCCTCTCTTCGCAAGGGTATCCCTCATAGAGAAGGACAGAGAGTAAGATAAACTGAGAGAGACAGATAGATAGAAAGAAAGAAAGGAACGAAAATTGTGAACAGAGAGAAAGGGGAAAAAGTGAAAGAGAGCGGACTCGTAAGGTTTGATGGGGGTGCGAGGTAAGTGGAGGCCCCCTCGGAGCTGAAATGCGTTTGAGGGCTTCCGCGAAGGTACGTACCAACCGCGGGGGGTCTCTCTATTTTTTCAGTCGGATACACGATGAGGGACATCCGGTACAAGTGGAACGAGGGCCCAAACAGCGTCGGGGTCAGCAACGAGGTCTCCCTGCCTCAGTTCAAGGTCCTCGGTCATCGTCAACGTGCCATGGAGATTAGTCTTACCACCGGTAACGTATAAACACAACCCCACCCCCCACCACCAACAAATAATTGTTCAACCCTCGCTTTTAACGGCATGGGTAAGGTGGAGAGACACGTGAGCGCTATCCGATGTCCGCAGGTGCAATTGTCGCTCGTAAGAAAAAAAAACCGTCGCAATCCTGTGTACCTTACTTACATTAAAGCCGTCGATCGATCGATCGATCTCTCTCTTTCTCGCGATCTCGCGCATCATATAAGCTCCGTTGCATAGTGGAGCTGGCTGGCATCAAACGGATCGCCGGCTAGGAAACGTTTCTCGCATTCGACGGCGATGAATTTCCTTGAGAAATCATCGCCACATTCCTCCACTTGGTTCGAATGAAACTTTGGGTGAGCAAAATTGTCTTCATATTGCCATCGTGGTGTTTCAATGTCATCTGCTCTACACCAATTTCTCGTGGTGCGAGCAAATTCCCATATGATATTCAACGATGTAGCATACACTCCAGCTGAAGACGATTATAGCATTTGCTATTTTCCTCATGAGTCCCACATTAAGCCTTTCATCTTTCGATATGCTCGAATACTATTCTTTGATTATATCGCAGGTGACGATTAAATGATGTATATACGATCATCCTAATGATAAAATAATATCTTTTGCCTCAATGTATCTTTTCGAGCAATAATGGCGCGCAAGAAATAAATTGTCGCCAATTCCCTCTCGTTAAAACGGAAGAAAGCCATGGGGTTGCAAATTGCAACAGGGATAACTCGATTTTCCATTCTAATCGATTTCTCATTTTTCTCCTATGCAACCACATCTCTCGAATCTCTCGATCGGCGCACAATACACGCCGCCGGTATACTTCATTGTAACGTGCATGCATGCATATCTACACTGACAGACGTACACAATATGAGCACGAGGAGTCGCGCATCAACGATGCGAATTTCACTTAACATCCAGCCAGCTCTGGCGCGCCGTATTTCCGACCGGCGCGGTGCAAGGAATAGAGAGAGCTACTCGCAAACAATGAAATCGCTTTTCCTGGCAAAGGCCAGTGACGGAACGGGAGATCAAGCAAGAAGAATAAACGGGAGCTCGAAGGGAGAAGAGCACAACGAACGAGTGGAAGAGACGGAGAGCAAGAGAGACGGAGAAACAGAAAGAGGAAGAAAAAGAGAAAAAGAGAAAGAGAGAAAGAGAGATGCAAGGGAAGAGAAAGCGAGAAAGAGAGAGAGATAAACGAACAGTGAGGAGGAAGGACAGTGAGCACGGGAGATAAAGAGACATTAAATAGCGCCTCTCCGTCTCCCTGTCCTGACCTTCGATCTTTTAATCGTAGGGAATTACTCGCGGCTGGCCTGCGAGATCCAGTTCGTACGGTCGATGGGCTACTACCTGATCCAGATCTACATACCCTCAGGGCTGATTGTCATAATATCGTGGGTGAGCTTTTGGCTAAACCGAAACGCGACCCCCGCTCGGGTGGCCCTCGGAGTAACCACTGTGCTCACTATGACGACCCTAATGTCCTCGACGAACGCGGCGCTACCAAAGATCTCCTACGTCAAGTCCATCGACGTCTATCTGGGCACCTGCTTCGTCATGGTCTTTGCCTCGTTGCTCGGTGAGTGCGATCGTGTACTCTTCCGTGCCTTTACGTCGCTGCCATTAAGCTTTCCATCCTGCGTCCTCTCATATACTCCGTATAGCTCGGAGCCGTGCCGTTCCAGTAGCGAGCTCGTAGAGTATCGTAGACGGATACTTGTGCAGGGCTCACGTGACAAATGCAAGGGACCCATTTTCCTCGAAATAGTTACTTCGCCGTCGTCGTCGTCGTCGTCGTTGTCGTCGACGACGACGTAAATGTTTGTCAGTCCGAACCTACGTTGAATGGCGAATGAAACGGCGTCTCGCGAAATCATGTTCACCGCGAAGCAACCGCGAGACAAGGAAAGGTCAATGTGGGTTAAGAGAGCCCCGCGGATTTGTTCAATCGATTAGCATACACGGTACGACACACACATTGTTGCGTTTTCACGACCGCGATTGCGAGTATCTCATTAGTCATTACATATACGACATCAAGGTACTTCGCCGTCGCGGTGTTCATAGCCGGGGTTTCCAGGGAAATGGCTTTCTTCCATCTGCACGTGAGCTCTACACAAGTACCGGGAGCGCAAGCATGAGTGAGATTCTCGACGGATGGAAGTGTGGGCTCCGTGAAACCGGGCTACCCGCCCAGATCTTACAGTGGCAGACGTGTCATGGCATTGAATGGTTACGTGTTTTCATTTCCCGTGGATTCTTATTCTTCGCAGAGTACGCCACGGTGGGCTACATGGCGAAGAGGATTCAGATGCGGAAGAATCGGTTCCAAAAGATAGCCGAGAGCATGAAGGCCGCGAGCGAAAATCCAGGACCGCCGCGCGTACCCGGCGATCATGGCGATCATGCGCCTAAGCAAACTGTGAGTAGCGACGGCCAAGATTGTCGTCGTTCCCGAATTTCTTTCTTCCATGCAGAATGTCGTTTTGTATCACCGCGTACGACCAGGAGATCCAGTACTAGCGCTCCCCTGGGCGATTTTTTACACGCTTTCTTTCAGCGAGTAGACGATCGGATCTGTCAAGATATCCAGATGTCCCGATCGTGGCACTATTACAGATTTATGCATAATCGTAGCACTTGTTTTTCATAACTTTATGGCTCCCGAGAGCCGTGTGATATTATATATAAGCATACACATACAACAAATATCATCTGTCTTGCCTACTGTCAACGATGAACGAAGTCTCAAAATGTGAATTCTAAATAACGAAATTATAAACAATAATATAATACTGATTAACGTGGTAATCGCCATTAAAAATTCTTTAATAGACTGCAATAAACGAATCTTTTAATAAACAGCGGTATAAACGAATATTAGAGCTAATCAAGCTCTTTTCTCTCGTCACAAGGGCAGGCTCAACAGGACGAAGCCAAGCATTATCCTCGATCCAGCTCAGCACGTACCATCGCGCAATGTAAATATGCACTCTATCCCTCCCCCCCTTAAAAAAGAGAAATAAAAACGGCAGGCTCGAAAGGTCAAAAGCTAAAAGGTTCTGCGAAATGAATTTCCCATTCGGTCGTGCGACGCGCCGGACAACGTGCTTCGTGCCAACACGGACACGACGCACTATAAATTTTCTTTTAATCTTGGGTATTGTAGACTCCCTTCCTCTCTTGTTCCCTTCCTCTCCGGGAAAACAGAAAATATTAAAAGACCGGAAAAGAAAGAGGACAATGTGGTAGAGCGGAAAGAAGTGAGTAAACGAGCGACAAAGATGAACGGGACGGACGGACGAAGGACGGTTATAAAGTGTCGGATAAGAAGATGAGACGTTTTAATTAATTATTATTACAAAGTTAATTATTCATGTTATCCGGCGGTAAATGCCTAATGACGTTACACGATTCTTTTAATTACATACTTGATACGCTTTTAATTACATTTTGTTTCTTTCAAGAGTTTTATAGTTGCTTTGTTTCGAAATATGAAAAGTGTATTAAAATCGAATCTAATGTCTTTGGTGATTTTCTTAGTATTATACTTTCAAATGCATAATAAAATCTAATTAATATTAAAAATAATAAAACCATCAAAAATATTCTACAATCTTACAGTTTCCTGTAAAAATCCGTAATCATATAATGTTTTTTACATTAATATTAACTTAAAAAAAAGTAGAAATTATATTCCAGTATGCATAATCTCATTTTACATCAAACAAATAGTCTCTTATAACGACTAATGATTATGTACCAGCAACAAATAATAATAATTTTCCCGCATCTCATCCCGACAGTATATCAATTAGCATCACATACACCAGCTTTCAATTAAATTTTCACCAATCCGTTTTGCTTAAGCACGAGCAATCGCACCGCGCGTTTCTACGAACCGCGGTTCTTTTACGAGAGACTTTTCCTATTTCACACTTAAACGTTCCTAAAATATATATAACGGAATAAACTATATATAACAGAGACGCGAGTCGCAACAGCGACATAAAAGCAGGTGAGTCTCTCGAATGCCAATCGCTCCGATGACTAACGTAAAATCGGACGTCACCGCGTTGAACGAATAAAATATACACTGCCCAGTCCTCGGTATCGCATGCCAAACCGACAAAGTTTTACGGGGTAAACCTCGGGTGAGGGACACCCCACGGCGAACTGCCGTGTCTCTTGTAAGTGGTCCCATGTTGTCCAGGAGGTGCGGTTCAAGGTGCACGACCCAAAGGCACACAGCAAAGGTGGGACGCTCGAGAACACCATAAATGGTCGCGCCGATGAAGAATCGGCGGGCGCGCCGCAACATATTATTCATCCTAGCAAGGACATCACCAAGCTCTACGGTATGAGTAGACCATGTACGCACTTTTATAACACTTTTTCAACCCCCCCCCCCCGCCTGGCAAGCTATCAAATAATCGGTTCTTAGCTTGGCAGGCTGTCTATTTCAACGAGCTTCTGAACGGTGGCAAAATAAACGTTACTGTACGGTTTAACCGTCAGCGAGCTCGGAAGGCCACCGGCGTGGTGTCATCGCTTGGATGAAGGGCCTGACAAGGCCGTCAATTGTGGCAATATGGATATCGAGTACTTTGAACTTCGCCAAGACTATGCAATATTCATGGCCGATGATACCACGCGCCTGCGCGGCGTTGTATTATATATATACAATTTCTCTACGCTTGAAACACCGTCCGAAAACGCTTGTCACTGATCATCTCATTAAAAAGCTTTTATGCGCATTTTAAGAAACATTTGTACAATTTATTTTTCAAGCATTACGATGCACTATTAGACGCTTTTTTGTACCCTTTTAAGGTACAACGGCACCGCGCGAACTCGGAAGCTCACTGAAATATGCAATTCTCTTCCCTCACGATCTTGCGCCGCAACCATTCTAAGTCACTTTAACGTTTCTTTAGGCATAACGCCGTCGGACATCGACAAATATTCCCGCATCGTATTCCCGGTATGTTTCGTTTGCTTCAATCTGATGTACTGGATTATTTACCTCCACATCAGCGACGTGGTCGCGGACGACCTCGTGCTGCTCGAGGAGGCGAAGTAGACGACGACGTCGCGGTGCTCCGAATCGAGAAGAAAAAAAAGGGCAAAAGAGCGCGCAGAAGCGAGCATTCTTACGCGTAGGAACGAGACGAGGACCGATTCGCGAAAGAGGAAGAGCGAAAAGCGGTTCAAGGAGGAAAAATCGAGGCGCGCTCGGTGACTACTTCAGGACAGGGGTAGTAAAAAGCGGGTAGTAAAAAGCGAACGACATCCGAGACCAGCCGTACCAGCTCGCGGACCAGAAAGGTGCTCTCAAAACATACGCTTAGGTCCGTCTCGAGAGCACGGTAACCACTTCTCAACTGGAAGTAGTAGCGGACGAATATGGGCAAGCCGTGCGGTCGCCTAGACGCGGAGTAGGACTACTTCGCGATCACCGGCAAGTAGAAACGGTCGAACGAACTCAGACGCCGCATCGCTTTGGCGTGGCTTATCAAACGCGCGTTCTCACTACTTGCGCGGCATCTGCAGTGACTACCGCAATTTCAACCGGGCAACAGGCTCCTGTTCGTCAATCAGCGATCGGGCACGCGTAAGCCTCGGCTATCTTCGCTGTACACGAGGCGTCTTCGTTAAAGACTCAATATATATACATAAATAAATAAATATATATATATATATATATATATAGGTACGTCGCGCGATAGAAATGTATATGTCGCGATGCAAGCGGAACGGCAAGCAGGAGCTCAATCGCGAAGGCGAATCCACGAGCATACATACCATAAAACATTGCCAGTCTAGGTATCTCTAGTTCTTAAACGGAGAAAATACCTTCGATATAAACACTTGTCAATTTAGCCACCATTACATAGTAACATTAACTAACGCTAAGAACAACACCGAGACTCGTCGGTTTAAAGCGACGATTCAATCGAGAGCAGCTTGAGAACGGAAAAATATAGGATTATCGACGTTCGTCGAGGTCGAGGATGAATCGTCGCTCTGACGCCGTCAGCAGCGTTCGCGCGCAGAGAAAACGTAGCGGAAATCGCATGGTGGCATATGTGCGCGCGTGAATGCGAATGAACGAGAGAGAGAGAGAGAGAGAGAGAGAGAGAATGAACGCGAGTATAAAATGTATGAGTGATAGTGCGCACGTGGAACGAAAAAAACGGCGGGAAAGTTCATATTCCAAACGAAGAAAAAAAAACAATGTGCTATCGGAGACTGGTGCGACTTATTATCTAAGTAAGTACAGTAAGTATATGTATATTAACATACATACACGCGCGCGTACGCGGCCACGTTAGGTACGCGCGTACACGCATATTAGACACACGTGCGTGCACACATGCGTACGCAGAACGCAGAACGATCGATGGAGAGCGTTCTACGCGAGATCTACAAAGATATAACGGCGGGGAAAAGCGGAAGGGGATAACGCGACGCAGGACGCCCACGACGAAAGCGGCTCGGGTTTCATGGTAGCGGCCTCACTTCAGCATCCGCATTTATTTGGATTACGGCCAAGTACGAGCCAGATCTCTCCTTTCATTTCGTAGGACTTTTTTACGATTTTTCACGACGCGACTTTTGTATGTTTCTGTATGTGTATGAATCGCGTCGCCGCTACCGAAATCGGTGAACTTATATCGTCACTCGTCCCAGGGCGTCTCTGTACGCGTGTACGTGCGTGTGCACATGGCTCAATCGGGAGTACTCTTAGCTCGTACTACGTAGTCGCGACTGTTTACGTAGGGAAACTCCCGGGACGTATAAATGATTATAGATCGGACGTAAAAACACTCCAATCAAGTCGAGAAAATCGAGAGGGACAGCGGACCAAGGCGAAATGCAGCTCGGTACTTGTATTTACTTTCGCTTGAAGAAAAGCTCTCGCTAAAGAAAAAAAATTGATATATAATTGACATATATATAAAATACTCGTGTCGTACGAATATGGACATATCTTATTTCATCGTATATTGAAAAACAATGGCGGAGAAAGAAACCTGATGAAAATAAATCTGTACAACCGCGATTATTATCCTTAAATAACACTTTATCTATATTGTCTATGTGACAATAGCAAGCCGACGCAGCCGCGCTGGATTTTATCGATTTAATTCGTAGCTAATCCCATCGACATCCTTTATAGTATTTATGCAAGAGATGAGAAAGACAGTGAAATATAATCGCTCTTATTTGCGTGGGTTGCTTCACGAGCTTACAACGGTCTTCTTTTTTCAACGTATTTCGTTGCCCATGTTTTGTCAATTTAATTAACGTTAATTGCATGGCGTTCTACTTTCTTCTCGCGGATGCTGCGCACTCCGCTGCTCGTACTTTCTAAAATCCTGTTCGCCATTACAGACCATCGATCACTTACACAAAAAGTTTCCAAAACCTATACACTCGGAACTTTCTTCTTTGCGCCTTTCGTATATAAGCTACCTAGTAACCAAGCACTTTCTTTTAAATGTAGCCAATTCCTCCTCGACAACGATTGGATTAGATGCCATCTTTTGCTATTGTAATTTTTCCGATCGTACATTTTAATAATTAAATTTTAGCTTAAAACTTTATATATATTAAGCTCTATTTAAAATTCACAGAAGAATAAAGTTTTATTATTTATAATTTTCTTAAAAATTTAACTCTTCAAAACTCCAATCTTCAAGCGCTTGCAATATAAGAACAATTGGGCGACATTCTTTTTTAGTTGGACTTCTGCTGTTTATGATTTAGGAGAAGTGTGGAAAACTTCTCTAGAACATTTTATATACATATATACATGCAAGCGCTCTCTTTTTACTGGCCTTCTCTCTTGCCCCTCGGACGTAGCGGCTGACTGCAAGCTGGGCCGTGGAAGCTTGCCATTCAGGATATCGACCAGCTGACACGCCCAACCCACCCTCTGACTCTTTCTCATCCCTTCTGCCGTCGCTCTTACTCTTCCTCTCCCCATTCTCGTCCTCCATTCTACTTCGCAATCGCCAAATAGTCCGTTTACCAGACGCCACTGTCAGTCGTGCATTTAATAAGGAGATCCCTTGCCTTAGCGCGCTCCGCGAGAATTCATTATGGAAATATATAAGTAGTCCGTAGTTCAGGATTCTGCCTTGGTCCGCTATCCATCTCAGATATTCGAGAGAAACGAAAGAGGGATGGTCATATTCGAGCGTCACGTTTTACCAATGCGAAAACGCTGAACCGTATGATTTTTATTAGATGACATTGGTCAAACTTATCGACTCGAAAAGAGAGAAGAAAAGAGAATTAGGAATTCTCAGTATAAGCGATTACGTGATACATTCGGTCTGTTAAGATACACTATATACCTAAATTTAATTGGTAATTCTTTCGCCGAGAAAAAAATACTTAAATTTTACGTAAAAATCGAAAGAGAAAAATATAAAAGCACTTCAAGTCACTAAATCGTCGAAGCCGTATAAAGTTGAAAGCACTAGTTTATATCGATAGATTTTTTTTAATACTCCATTAAATATAATTCCCTAAATAATATGATAAACGTCATCAAAACGATATTCAAAAAACATCTAGCGATTGATAAATCTCTTAGGTATGTTAATGAAATTTAAAATCGATATCGACAAATCTGGAACGAATAATTCATGTCTTATAAGTTAGTAGTAGACCTAAGTGAGCGGAACCAATTCTAAATAATATTTTTATTTGGTGCTCATTTGTTGCTAAAAAGTTGCCAAAGAAAAAAATTTGTTGTTCTAAGTTTTCTCAAAAAATGATGTTCCGCGAAAGGAAGATTAAGTTAGCGGGACAATATACATATAGCAATAAAATTGCACATAATCGGGACATATTTTGTGAACAACAAATTAGCAACAAATTCTTACGTTATTGTTATATGCAATTTCGTTGCTATATATATAGGTATATATATTGTCCCGCTAACATATCTTCCTTTAGCGGAACATCATTTTTTAAGAAAGCTTACAGAGCAACAAATTTTTTTCTTTAGCAACAAATGTGCAACAAATAAAAATATTAGTTAGAATTGGTTCTGCTCACTTTGTTCCGCTAACTTATAAGACATAAATAACTCTAGGACCATAAATAAGGAGTGACTAAAAATTCTCAAGTATCTATGTCAATTTTACATTCCCATAGCGTGGATCGTACTTTAGGATTACAATTTGTGACCGGTATAATTTCGATTCTTACGTTGTCGCAAATAAACAACAGCGGTGATTTTTCAGTGTTCACGACGTCGAAATTTCGAATCAGCGAAATTATACCGGTTCGGTTAATCGCTGTACGTACTTTTAACTCTTCCGTGTAGAAGATTGCACGCGCGCTCCGGCTTTCTCGATTTTTTTCAGACACCGGCGCGATTACACCAGACCCGACAGACTTACCATCTCGCGTATTCGCGAGATTCAACCGTGATAATTCGCCCATCGCGGGTACAATCAACCGCGGCATTCCGTTCGCGCGTTAATTCAGCGACTTATTTCGCTTTCGCGTTTTCCGCGCCGAACACTCGGGCATCCGGTTCTCAATCGCGGTAATCACGCGATAATTCGAATAATGGCGGCGCGCGAGTTTGTCGTGCGCGAAAAGGCGCAAATCGCGTGTCCAGCCCTCGTTCGTTTCTTTCTTCGGCTGCGCTCGTACATAATATATAAGTATTGATACATTTCTCCACGTCCGCCCCAACCGGAAGCGTTGTGTGCAATTTATATAACTGTACATCCGTTATCTGCTCGGAGTCTCTATAATAACGGGAGAGCGAGAGGGAAGAGAGAGAGAGAAAGAGAGAGAGAGAGAGAGAGAGAGAGAGAGAGAGAGAGGATCTAACTCGTTTTATTGTTGTGATATATTCTATGGTAACTATATGCATTTATTCGCGCGTATGGTGACATATACGCGTGCCTATTGTTTACGCTGAATCTTTCAGCTGGGCGGACAAACGGCGGGAATTGGCGTGTCCACGATCAAAGACGGTGGAGAAACTCTTCCTTAGATAGACATACAGTTAGGTGTAAAGTAAAGCAAATAATTAAATAATGTAATAATTAATTAACTTTACGGATAACGAAATAATTAAAGTAATAAAACGCGTCGGGTGCATCTCGCGATACAGAGCGTGCAAGCTTCGAAATCGCGAATGAACGATATTCCTTTCGAATGCGCGATACTAAACTAATTCAATTGTTAATGTAATGATGATCGATTATGAACGATGCTGTTATAATTCAGAATGATCGATTACGCATTAATTTCTTGAGAATACATGACGCGCATCCGCTGCAATTTTTTAGATGCATTCTTTATTCATTTATCACGTTTATTCATTATGACGCTATCAAGAAAATTTTGTTATTAATATGTTATTTATATAAGATATTCGTAACGCTCAAATAAATTTGTAACATATATACGTTTGCTTGATCTCAGTAAGTATTCGAAGTTAGGTAACTTCGCTGATCCAACGTTGAAGATTTAGTAGCAGAAAACTCGATAATTAAGCGCATTCATCTACGATAATTCAATCGCTCAATGCGATTTTTTGTGCCGAATTATAAAAAAGAAACGCGTGCAGTGTAAGCACAAATCGACATACGCACGTTATATATGGGACGCGCCAATTCCCCGCAGACGTCACAATCGACCATTATTATTATTAGTCACTGAAAAATTTTTATTACCTTTATTATTATATTTATTACCGTTAACATTATAAATGACCGTTTAAAGATTTACAATGTTCTTTATCCTCTGGCAGGATGACTACTTGCGTTATCGGCGGGCACTTATATCGCGTATAACATTACCAAATAGATGAAATCGTTATATAAAAACAAAGAGCACCGGCGCGCAGGTATCTCGGGATATAACTCGGGATATGACAAGAGAGAGATACAGAAAAAAATACACAGAAATATTAATATTATATATAAATCGATCACATTTTGTAAATACGAGTTTTATACAGAGCATTGTATTCGTTAAACAAAGAGAGTACCTATTGCGAAGTAATATATATATATACATATTATATATATACGCAAATGTAGTGCACACGAAAATGTGACTGTTCGCACGTATTTAGGTAAATCACTTTTAAAAGTATAGGAAAAAGAGAAAACCAAAGTAGACTGGAAGAACGTCGGGGGCCGAGAAGTTAGTGCGTACGTTCATTCGTTCGTTCGTTCGTTCGTTCGTTCGTTCGTTTGTTCGTTCGTTCGTTCGTCCGTACGTTCATTCGCAGCGAATGTAGGTCATAAAAATCGACAATTTGATTACTTGCTGACTATCTACTGCGTAATGAAAGATTCGGAGTATCCTCCGTGATCGCCGACGAAGACGACCAGAAGAGTCGATCTACATACGCTCGTATGAACTCTTTGACATTTATCATTATGCGTAGATAAGAACGACGACGTGAGAAAATACCACGTGGTCGAGCTCTTTATCAATCCATCCACATATTATGCATTTGCGATCATAATTGTTCGTCCGCGGACGTAAACGTAAAAATTGCTCAAAACATGGTTGTCAAATCATCAGCAGATGTGTACAGGTACAGAGATCATGAATAATTTATTTGAATTTTATAGATACATTCACACATCGATAAGACTTTAGTATTATATCTATACATATATCAACGCGTATAGAAACGTGAAGAATCTATCGCCAATCGGAATAATTTACCTCATTTTATCTCACAATCAGCTAGCATTATCTCACTTCATGAAACGATCATAGTTACGAGAAATTATCGACAAAACGAACGCTCACGTCGTTCGGTCATCTTTGTCGCGAGCGAGAAACTCTTCTGGGCGGCACGCAACACGGCAGAATCGCCAACGGTGTATGTACTCTGACAAGACCACGACAGTTCAAGCCGCGTTGTAACGAAAACTGCCAACTTCATATTGCAATATACGTTTTAGTCAATCGTGGCGATGCAACCAAAAAAACGACAGGAAACCGGAGCGAGCGGTGCAACCATTTCGGGTGACAACGAGAAACGTTAAACGCCGATGTAACTCTGATCGTGTCGATTGGTCAATTTGAATTACTTCGCGAAAGATTCGTACATGTTAAATTGATGGATCGAACAATTGATTTATCATTGGTAGATAAGCAAACCGTGTCACCGCTCAACCGATCGCATGCGCACATTCCGTGGACTTTGATTTTATAATTCCAATTACAAATTCTAAATTCCATAAGTTAGAAAGTTATTTTTAATTTAAGCGAGGAAGGCGTGGGCAAAGCATTAAGATTGCTCATTATTTAACATTATTTAACTTTACTTGACAAGTATTCTATGAATATAAATATACCATATTGCATATAATGAAATTCGTTGCGTTATATAATCATAGATAATTAAAAAATTGTTACGGTGATGTAGTTATTTTATTATTCGCGCAATGTTTATGTCAGCATCGCGAATGGCTGTATAAATATCAGAAGTAGTTTAAGTCTTTACGGAATAAGTAAGCGAACGATTGAAGCGAGACATTCTACCATATTTATCAAACGTGGTTACAGAGCGATAGCGCTACGAAAAGACACGAAGGAAACGAAGTTGATCGGGAAGCATTTGGGAGAAATTGGGGAAAGAGAGGCTTGTGGAATTGTCGAAACGGAAGATATGTGATCGTGATTTACTCGTGCCGCAAGCGAGAGACGTGTACGTGAACTATGGCATAGCGATCGTTTGTACTTAACCAGTCCTAAAACGCCTCTCGCTTGTCGCCGGAGATTCCGCAGTTTCGTACCAACTGCTTCCGATATTTCTCGCAACCGCCGTTCACTCGAGATAGTTGAGAATTTCGAGCGGCATCGAATCGAGAGCTCGACGGATTTCAGGGATGCAATCTTCAGTTATCGCGGAATTGAGGTCGTTTCCCTTCTCCGGCGGGGGACTCGCGCACTTGTCATGCATCGCGATCAAGAATCGCTTCGCGAACTATCTCGATCGCTCTCGAGATCGGTGAGAAATGCAAATTCGACGAAAAGTGCGGCGTCCCCTTATGGGCGAGAGAGAAAGAGAGAGAGAGAGAGGAGAGAAAGAGAGAAAGAAAGAGAGAGGAGTCGTCTGCGTTGCTTCGCGAAAAGCGGGAAAAAAGCGAGGATCGGCGAACGCGAACGAAACTCTGAATGAAAGAACGAAGACGAAAGTGTTGGCGCGAAGACGAGTCGTCTCGACGAGAGTACCAAATTCTAAAATGTATTTAAAGACACACGCTAACTGCATTATACTGTAGAAACGTATTCTACGAAAACGTAAACTGTAAGAAAGACAAATGTAGATACACATGTACCCGAGACACGCATACACAAACACGGACACGCAGCCGTTGCACGCATACACAACAGGCACATACACAACATACACGCAACACGTACCGAACATCTAAAAATACCCTCTAGATCGGGCGATTAACATCTCGAGAAGCGATTATATATAATTAACGATATATACATACTTATATATATACGGCACTTGGTAGACAGGTACACGTACCGAGTATACCTACACTACCTGCAACTTTCTACTCGGCTGCGACGCCGATTGTGCGAGGTAAAAAATAAAGAGTGAGAGCGCGAGAGTGAGAGAGAATGAAAGAGTGAGAGAAAAACAGAGAAAGAGAAAAGCGAAAAGTCTGACGTAAAAAATCGATGTAACGGTGGGGGAAGAGACGTGTAACGTTTGTACGGCGCGCAATAGTGCGAGTATACGCATAATAGCTAGGCGTAGACTAATAGGTCCGGAAATACGAGTGTCTGTCGTAATCGGGAGTGTATCCGTTCGTGTAAGAATGTCCGCGTGTCTACTACACGTACTACGGAAAGTACGTGCGTGAGAATCTCCGTGGTCTGTAATTCCCATTGCGGGGAAGTTCCTGTTCCTCGAGGCAGCGAGACAAAAAGAAGAGGAGGAGGAAGATTGCGGGGGAGGAACGATGACGAAGATGACAAAACAAACTTATCGAGATTTTGTAGATATTATATCCGATTCGCGCGGGGGCCCCGCCAGATCTGCCCGAAGCCACGCTGACACTTTTTCCATCCCCGAAATACGCACGAATACAGTCTCGCGAGCGAACCAAGGCTATGATATACACCTGACAGTTTTACCATCGAGAATCGTTCTAAGAGCGATGACCGATCTCATCGAGCGCTCTTCCTTTCAGCTCTCTGACTAAACAATCACTGTACCGACGGTTCCTCTACTTCTAACGGCACATTTAAAAAATGTACGTAGTGAAAATTCGACTGATTCGCACCGAACGTGGACCTCTAGCGTTTATCGTATCTAAAGTAAAATACTACAAATGTTTTCTAGCAACAGAAATAATTGATAATTAATACTTATCGACGCGAGTAAAGATCGACAAGAAAAGAATTGCATTTTGAAATTGTTACAAATTTAAAGAGAGACGTTAATTACGATAGAATAATAGATAAAAATCGGTCATTTAGAGAGTAACACGTAATTTTTAACAAACTTCCTCGCGTTAACGAACGAAAGAATCGCACTATCACGAGAGAATCTTCACCGTCGCTTTTTTTCTTTCTTCGAAAGAAAAGCGAGGCAGCAAGATGAAAGAGTGATACCGTGTTCCAATAAAAACGTCCATCTTGGAGCAAGAAGGAGAAGGAAAGTCGCTTTGAAAAGAGTAAAACTTTCGAGTGTGCATCAGCCTGAGCGAAATCTGACGTAAGAAAAACATTACCGACGCGTAAAAATGTGGAAAGCGGAAGAACATCTGCTAATAGAGATGGGAAGTAGGTCAGATCCCGGCAAAGCGCCCTCATTTACGATTAGCCGCGCGCTATTAAGGCCATTTTTTGTAATATCCGAATAAAATGCATGGTCGATGATGACGTACGAAAACTTACCTTTTCTCTACGATCGAACGACTCAACCTTCGGGGACTCGGGGACTCATAACAAACCGGTGTCGTCGGAATGTGTGCTGCTCAGTTATATACCGTTTGGCTGCAACTCTATCGTGGGGGAGGACTACTTGCGAACTCTCGGCGGCGACATTCTCAACAGTAAAAACATTAAGAATATGTCTCTGATATAAATCTGATATACTTATCCACGAATCTCTGCACGACAAAATTCTGAAAATAGAATACAAGATAAAGAACGATTTTGATCCCTTTGTCAAAAACTGTCTTTACTGTCGAGAATGTCGCTGGTCGAGAATGAGATGGATACGCAGAACGACGTTCACTAAATCGTGGATCTTAGGACGCACGAACGATAACGATTTCTCTTTTCGGCCGAGGATTCTTCCATCACGAACGGTTCCATCGTCGACAAAGCGCGATCCTGAACGTGTAGAATTCGTTGTAAATAAATCTCGGGGGACGAGGGCGAGCGAGAGAGCGTGGGAGCAAAGGGGAAGGAGGAGTACGAGTGAAAGAATGCCTACCCTAATTGTCGCGCTGTGTCACGATTGCGTTTGGAAGTTTCTCGCGTTTCGTGCGAAGTGACTGGACCGTTCACCCTGACTGCCGAAAGAACACAATGCAATTGACGGTTTATGGAGCAGCCGGTGAAAACGAGGACACGCAAAAAGAGGGAAGCGGCGGAGATGAAGAGAAACGAGAGCTCTCCTAGTTACTTGCTCATTGAAATAATATTCTAAATAACGTTTGCGTAAGAGAACGAAAGTCTAGATGCGCATCACTAAAACGCAGACTTAATTCTACGTACAAATAAGTAAAGCGGCGCACACGCGCCGGCAATCGCGCGCGCCTCCGGTTGTTCGTAATCTAACGGAGAAGAGGATATTTTAGTTTCTAACGAGAGAACTTAAAAGTGACGTTGATTTCTACATGTCGCGGCAGGAGCGAGTCAGGCGAAATGTATCGCGATCCTCGCGACAGCGAGAGCGAGCCTGCGAATTTCCGAACGTACGTTTTACCGTTTAAAGAGAAACGCCGCGCTTTCCACGAATGCAACGATCTCAACAAACACCAAGTAACACGCAACTTACATGCAAGATTAGAATTTCCCACTCAACACAATGGTAAATGCAATACAACACATGTGTTACACTGCATTTACATTGTTGAATAGAAAATTCTAATTTGCATGTAAATCGCGTGTTATTTGGCGTTTGCTGCGATTCGCCTAAAGGGATGGTTTTCAAATCGATCGCTAATATCGAAGGTGTACAAACGAAAGCGCCTTCTGCGTCCACCAAATGCGCTTTATGTCTATTTTTACCAATATAAATTAACTTTAATCTCGATTTAGCTTACTCTTTATCTTTCTCCAATTCTTAGAACTAGAAAAAGAAAAAATGCATGTTAAACCGAGATTAAAGTTAATCTGCATTGATAGAAATAAACATTAACCGGCGACCAGAGAGGTCAAGTCGGCAATTCGGTGAAACCTCAGCGGTTCGCTTCGTGCGATCGTCGGCTTGTAACTCGTCGCGAGACCGAATCGAGCGTCGAATAAACGCGATCGAGAAGCGCATTCGGAACGACGACGCTCCGTCGTCGATCAGGGTCTAATTCTTAGTCCCGATCTACAATAGGTGTTTTAAGCCCTAAGCCTTAAGAAATTGTTCAATCACGGTTGAATTTGAGCAGAATAATTGGTCTATGATTGGTCAATTTCTTAGGGCTTAGGGCTTAAAAAACACCTATTGTAGACTGGGACTTATCCTAACGCGTTGGCCCGCGGATGTTTTTATTCTTACGCGATAAATAAAATAAAGATTTAAAAAAGGAACTGCCGCTCGCGACACTTCGCTCGATCATCGCCGCGCGAGGTGTTTCATCCTTCCCTCGTATACCTTGTACCGACGGAATCTCCTTTCCGAATGAGAGCATCCCCGGGGCCGAGATCCTCGGCTAGGATAAGGATTATAACGCGTAAGGATCACGCTGCGTGCGTAAAATCAGGTACCTATATGGCGCGAGGAGATTGTTGTTGCGCGAGATCGATATGCCCGCGGGATCGTCGCCAGCGCGCGGCGCGACATTATTATGTAAAGTTTTTATTGCGTGAGTAAAGTATTGTGTTATACCGACCACAGAAAGTATGTACACGTACCTTGCAAGACAACAAGTCTCGTCCTTCTCTGCGGGGTATCATATACCTCGGCCCGTTCGCCGGCTCGTCCACGGTGCGCTCGTCGAATCCCCGGGAGGCGATGCGTCTTCCGCTCCTCTCGGAAAGTCAATCGCACCACACACTCGCGAGCAAACGAAATCACCGCGCGAAAAACAACAGTCCGGAGCGATCGCGAACGCGGATCGGAAGGACTCTCGATCGAAATCAAAACTGATCCGTCGCGGCGTCGAATCGAAGTCAGACATTGTCGGAAGCGTTCATGGCGCGGGGGACGGGGGAGGCGTCGCGGTATTTCGAATTCTCGCGATTTCATCGCCGAAACGTCAATCCGCCGTTCTGCTATCGATCTCCCGACAAGACTGAAATCGGTCGCGAATCGCGATCGCGTCGCACGACGCGTCTCGTCGTCCAATTTTGACAAATTGCACGTTTTCGTCGAACGAATAAAGTTCGGCACACACTATTTCAATGCGCGGTCGGGGATTGACCCCGAACTCCAGAGTTCGACGGGGTTCTCGCTAGCTGGTTGCAGATGGCGCCACCGACCAGGTAAGTCCACGAAATTTGAACTACAGTAAAACCACCGCGCGCTGCGTATTATCGGCGTAGGATGCGAGGTCCGATTGTCAGTAATTCTTTGGTTATCACTGTTATCAGTTCGGTTATCAGTTTTATCCAAATCCGAAATTGGAGTCAATTTATATTTACACGTCACCATCAGTAGTTACAACTACTGGCGTAAAAAAACTGAGGTAAAAACGTCGTATATGAACACAAATTAAATCCAATTTTATAACAAAAATTGTTATTACTCTGCACAAAAAAATGTAGATTTATAAATCTGGTTCTAAAGAAATGTGTAGACGCTAAATGAGTCGTTATGATTGCATTGCCAACTTAAGATAAAATGATAAAAATATATCTGTTGTATTTCTTTGACAAGATCAAAATTTCAAAATTTTCAGATTTCCATATAACATCTCTTCGTGTGAACCAGTATGCGTTTTAAGCAGTTATAACTGTAGACGTTAACCCGATTAATAACGACGTGTAAACGTAGTCACGGTCAGCAGGAACATAAAGCGCCGATACAAAAATACGCGAAGGTGATCCGGGTGAGTTTATTTCTTTTTATCAAGAGAGCCGTTCCCAACTGAAGTAAAGCGTGTTAGCTGGAACAATATATAAATGAAATGAATTATCGGCTAAAGCCCACGTTCGACGTCTGTTATTCGCGTCAGAGAATCCAGAATTCTATTTACAAATTGCTATTTCATGCCAAAAAAAATATTGGAAAGATTAGTTGCAAACATGAAAATTTTATATATTAAAACGTACAAATGTGTCGAAATATGCGGCAAATAAAATTATAAATAAATTTCTATTTTGAAATTCAATCGTCTAAAATGCATTTGATTGAATTGAAATCGAAGACGCATTCGGCGCTGACCACACCGATAAAATTTTTAGGGATGCACGAAATTAACGCAACTACGTAAGACTAAGGTCTACGATCTAAAAATTAAATTAACTAGGAATTTAACTAATTATAATAATAAGAAGAAATTAAGGTATTTACGGAATTATGTAGGATAAGTTAACTATGCTCAAAGAGTTTCTACGACAAGGCATTTCATCGATCTACCACGCCTACGTAACTAGAGCGTTTGTTGCATCAACGTTTCACAGCACGTTAAGAAAGAGGAAGAGAGAGAAACGCACTTTTATTACAACATTATAAAATTGTACACAGTCCGCGGTAACGTGTCCACAAAATCAGAATGCCGTCTCGACGTAGCTACGGCGCTACGTCGACCCTCGCGAAAAAATATACATCAATGCGAAATACATTCAGTACAAAATAAATACATCTATATAGTCCATTTGTTGTGGTACAGTTTGCGTCGATTTTACGATTCTTTTTTTTTTTTTTTGCTACGGCCAGAGGGATAGTGTTAACGTTTTCGCAGATTGCTCTACGTATTCGCTCTACAAACTAGCCTCACGCTACTCTACACGCTAGTTAACACAACACACATCGACCTGACTTCTACTTTTGCTACTCTCGTATTAATCGAGTCGGAACAGTTGATTATCAATTTGTTAGACAATTGCCATTACGCCATTACGTTCGCAAGTCTTGTTACGAGACAGCATGGACACTTATCACGACACGACACCGATAAATGGGTTTGGTAGCCCGTTTTTTTTTTACGTTACAACGGATTAATATTGCAATTTTCTTACGCGCGTAAACGCGGCTCGGATGTACAAAGACATCCTTCCTTTCGTAACTTGTACGCCTCGATCGCAACAGCTACTACTCGTTGAAAAAAAAAGACGTATAATCTACGTAGGTCCAAACGTTATTGTGAGTTCGTGGTCCTCAGAGTTTCGAATACAGTGCTTCTCGATGACTTCGATATAACAATCATTAATAGCATGCTTATTTGTGCATCGAGAGACCGCATGGCATATTCGATGATATGCTCATAAATAATGTTGCAATTTGCTTCACGTAGTAAATCTACGTGATCACATCGCTATTTGCGAACGTATGCAGATTAACAGATTACAATTGCTTAGGCAACGAAGTCTGAAGCAGCGAATCAAAGAGCCACGGCGATTCGCGTGTCCCGCAGAAAGTTTCGTTCCAACGAAATCGTAGAGAAACGTCAGAATCAATCAAATACATTAAAATAAGCTACAGAATTTGATTGTACAATTTACAAAAGAAAGCGGTCGATAATTCAATCAACAGGTGCCTCTCGATATAAATAATTTTTACGTAAAGTTGAAAGTATAGACAGATTTGAATTTTGATCGATACCTAAAGCGCGATAGAAACAATATCTTGATATAGCAAAGAGAAAAAACTGTATCGTCTAATAACATCCCTTGTTTCTGATCGTCCACTCGATCCGTCCGGTGCATCTATCAACCTATTGTATATTAATGCAGCCGCTGAAGCTTATTTCGATACATTTGAATTACTCTGAGTGATGCCCCGCACGTTAGAGCCTGATGCTGTCGAAACACGTATACCTACCACGATCATATCCCAAGGGTATAATCATAGCGAGTGCGTGTTCCGACAATAACTGGTTCTAACGAATTCGCACGAAAAAACGTCAGTATTAATGAAATGCGTCCCGATGATTACAGTACAGGTCCTAATCACACGGCGCGCTCGCCATAATCGCCTCCACTTACTTCGATATATATGATTATTTCCGACGCTCGGTACAAATTTGTTAGAATGAGGCCTCTCCGTCGGGACACGCATCCCACCATGACGAGAATTCGCCCCGACGAGTTCGAACGAAACCCGTTAGAATTAATCGCATCCTTCGGGGTGAGGTCTTGAGACAGTCGGAAAAGTTGCGAGACGACACTGCAGTCCGCGCGTCTCGCATGACAGTCTACACGCTTAGGATTACGCTCGAGGAGAGCGCGTCGGGAATGTGTGTTCCATTTCCCTATTATTTAAGACATCTATCTCCGCTATCCGCTAGTCGTCTAACATGATCTACCACATCTACCGCTACGGTCTAACGCACTACCCAGTTACGCAAATGAGATACGAATGAGATACGCAAATGAACACGAACAAGTCTGACCTGCTTTTTAATTCGATGAGTCAAGGACATAAAAAGCATATGCACCTTATTCAAGGGGCGTTTCTGCAGCGATATTCTGCGCTGTAATTACCGGCGCGGCGCTGTAATTTTGTCGATTGTGCCCTTATTATTGTTAAAGACAAACGGAAAGAGATCAGATTGATAAGCGTATCTCACAATTACTCGAGGTATATAAAACTCAATTGTATTTATCGTGAAACAATGTTTTTTCGATAATTAAAAGTACAAACAGATGTTGCTAGTGTACGACAGAATGTCGCTCGCTGTTAATCGGAGAACTCATCCGATATGCAGAGAATAAAATCACAGTTATGCGCGAGTAACTACATCGATCGCAAACTAATCGCGCTCTCTCGGTCGCGGATAAATAAAATGTATTGTTCTCACCGGAAACAATCGTCCACTTTTTACCAATAAAAACAACGAGTTTCTTTAGATACAAATTGTGCGCTGTTATACGCTTACAAAGAATCGCCGCTCGAAAAGAATTCTATCATTGTTGTATAATTGATATATTAAATCATTATTATATAATAATATTAATTATATAGTCGTAACTAAGAATACATTGTAACTCTTTCATAGAAAAATCTATTTCATGGACGGACACTGCATAAGCTACGGTATTTAACACGTCAAAGACGTAGCGCAAAAATATGCGGCATGAAAAAGAAATCTCCATCTCTCGCTTAAAGTGAAAATAAATTTGCTTTTGATTTGGGAAACTTTGTAAGATAACTATATAGTAATCGCACGAGAGTATATATCGAAAGCATGCAGTGCCTGTCGATCTTCACATCGCACCCACGTATTCGACGTTCACCGTCGATATTCTCTCATATGCATATCAATAGACGTGTTCGCAAACGCATAACTACGCATCTCACACGCGCCGTATACACGTACGTACACGGAGAACATACCAACGTACATTCGGAAATACAATACACCAGTATAGATAGGACATTTATTTAACTTAGACGCTTGCTTGCAAGTTAACGGCTAAGGTAAGTACGCGAAACAGACAAAGCCAAGTTCATTTAACTATTCTCCCCTATCTCTCGAACTTGCAAATTCGTTTACGGGATACGCGCCGATGGGAATTCTCTATCGAACGCAATAAGTTTCGCGACCACGTGGTAATACGCGAATCTCTCCAAATGCACTTCTAATTCCGAACGTTCCGCGGGGAATGAACGAAGCGGACGATACAAAAGTATACTTAGTTGGGGAAGGGTAGTCACGACAAGGTAAAATTCCTGGTCCCATTTCCTTCAAGCATTATCACCAGCGGCACTTGCTGCCACGCCTGCCCGCGCGTTTCCGAAAACCCGGTTTCGGCGCGACGGAACTTTAGATAAAATCTCTCCCGCGTGCCGAATACTTCTCTCCTCTCGCATATTTGATCAACGCGCGCGGCCACTCGCCGGGTGTTTTATCAAAGTTCTCGTCGTAAAAGACGCTTAAATTTCAATTTCAAATTTTGCACACAACGTCCGCGAGGATCGTTAGTCAAACTTAGCACACTTTGTAAGGCGATTATCATCGCTTAGAATATCAAACTGTTTTCATCATGTATTTGACAAGATGTTGCTTTCTACGCTTAATTTCGCCTACGAGGATACACCGCGGGAGCATTATCCTGGATAATCGAGACAGCTCTGATCCAAATCGGATAAAGTGTGCAAAATTTGAACGATATAATGTACACTCGTACCATACTACCCGAACAATCATACCTAAAAGTGTGATCACAGATTGACAGAAGGCGCGTAAAATACGACATTATAGACACAGTCATGAAAGATACGCCATTGCAGTAATTATCAATTAAATACAGTTATAAGATGGAGTTATATACAATAAATATATATGCAAGCTTATTTGTCAATATAAACCTCGAAACGCAAGCGGCGGAACCAGAGAGCAGAATTTTATGCGATGTAAGATTTGATTTTGTCGGTATAAAGTTGATCTTTTAACTCATTAAAATTTTTTTCAAGCCCTCATCATTTTTCCATTTTGCAAAATATTACGTTCGCATTTCGTGTGTACCTACATATATAATTACACTCTTCTCATAAAAATTATATCTGGATCCGCCAATGCAAATACCTACCCAGTCACAAAAATAATAGTACTACACATATTACATTTTTGATTTGAAACTCTGTGTGATGTGTTGATATAAAAAATATTTTTGTGACGTTACTTCGATCAGCAAAGTTTTTAACTGGATTATCATATACATCGGAATTAAAAAATAATATTGTCCGCATTGAGAATAAATACATAAATCAATTTTTCATATTTGCGCGTACGTACGTCCACCGGATTAAATATACAAAACTATATTAATATACTAAAATTTTACACTCTTATTCAGAAATTCTATTTCAATTCTCTTTTGCCTCTCTTTATTGTTTTTTAAAGCAACCACGGTAGAACCATATAAAAATTGCTATTATTAATTACTTTTTATTATAGTAAAAGTGACAAACATTTCGACGTAAATTTTGTTTGTTAATTTCGACATTAAAATCATTGGTATTGATATTATAAATTCAGAAATTGATATCACCTCGTATATAAAACTCTATTGCTTTAAAACTCTAATTTAATCATACATCCTCAGGTAAAAAAAAAACGTTGTCAATTACGATATTCTATTTTCGAAAGTTTTTTTAAGAATCCGTTTAAGTTTCTTGAAGTGATCGATAAAAATGATTATTGCAATAAAAAAAGTTGACTCGTACAGAAGGAGTAACTCACTCCGAGTAGGACTATAGCAGTCGCAACGGAGAAATATCCTTCCTCGAAGAAATATCGTTGAACCTAAAGTCCACGCGAAGTCCATAAATTTTGAAATAACATTGTTCTATGTCACGCGAGGCACCTTCGTCTATTTTTATACCTTCTCCTCCCCGATATGCGAATAAAAAGATTTGACGCTTATACTCGTAATGCGATCATCGTTATTGTTTGTCAGTCACAAATATATGGCCCCATTACATGTCTAGGTCGAAGCATCGATCATGTAACAGCGCGTTATCAATTCAATACGTATCAGTATATAGTTGTGTGTTAGATTCTCTAGCTACGTATATACATAAGTATCACTTCACTATTCTCTTACGTACGCGAGGTGAGACCGTAATTTATATGCTCGATTACGTTCTCCAATATGCAGTTACATACTCTAAATTGCATTTTGAGAAGGTCACATAATTAGAAACGATATATATGTTTTCCTACATGTTTTTTTTCTTTTTACGCGTGTTGGCTCGTGTCAGTTTAAGTGTTGAACTCAACGATATGGAAATATAAGTGGAAAGCGATATTGACACGTTTTAACACGTCCACTTTACACAAATATGCGCGCGATAATGTCATACGCATTTTATTGTTAATTATTAAGATACATTATAACAGAATGAACTTCTAAATGTAAAGCATGATTACAGATATGTGCTTGAATACACGATTAGCAATAACCGAAAAGCCGCGATCGTGGAATGTACAAAACATTTAATAAAAGCTACTACTGTGTAATCTGCAAACGAGATTTTAAGATGTAATAAATATTTTTAGCCTCGTAAATCTGATAAAATATTATCGACAATTTTGCACAATTTTAGATAACAAAACCCGGGATTACATAAAACATTATTTGTCTCGAGAAATAAAAAATAACATACTGCCATAAATACCACTCATATTGACTTAGTTATACAAGAAGCATAAATAACAGTAATTTTGATATAAAAAAACAATTCCGTGTATAATACATTGTCAACTTAATCATTTCAATAACAAAAATTGATTAGCTTTCCAACGAAATAACACACACGTAACACGTATTACTATTTAAATTTGCAATAATTTTGCTCCCTGCTGCAAAATAAAATTGCGCATACGTGAACATCAGAATATATTCAAACGCGAAATTCAGAATGCAAGTTGACGATATTATTTAAGCACGTCATTCAAGAACGCTAGAACGGATTTTCTAAAAGAAGCTCTTTCTGGAATGTATATACCATCGCGAACCTGATACTCGCGATCGCAGCTGTGCGGCGTGTATGGACGGAGCAAGCGCATTCTCGCGAATAGAGCGAATGCCGATGTCACTCGCGTGCGAGTGTCCTCCAATGAAACGCTGCTAAATAAATCGCGATCCCTGAAAACGGTGTCTGTCCCGAGAAAACGCGACACAGCAAAGCGAACGCATCGCCGCGCGGCACGTAACGAATTACCCGGCCGGGGTGAAGAATGGCGTCGTTTTCCAGAATAATTGGCACGACAATATTCACCAACCGATTTTACACGAAATACACGGGGAAAGAGAGCCGAGAGACGATCGAGTCGCGCAACTCGCGCAGGGAGTGTTTTCGCGTTAATCCCGGGTCTTTCGTCGTAAATCGTTCGCGTTCTCCGCCGTCAATATGATGTCCACCGTCAATATGTCGGACATAAGTTCTAATACTCTCCTCGTTTAATCCGAATATGCGTAGATACAGTTTAGTTATTTCAACGTCGAGATGACAGGGGGGGCAGTAATTAATGTGCTATATGTTCTTGTTTTCTCAGGGAGACATTCAGTACTTCGGCGGATAATAGCAATTATTTGCAACCAGATATGTTTAGGGGAAACATACGTAATTAATGATCGAGAATCACGTTTTGTGCGATATGTAAGATTTAAAATTAAATAGATCGAAAGGGGTGGCAGCGCTATGAGATTTTTGATTTTCAAAGCAAACAGCAAATCGATCTGAGTACAAGACGAGAAAAGGCGTCTGTTAAGCAATTTATGTTTGAGCGTATGCAAGTAAACTGTTATAGCATTGGAACGCGATATTTATTTAATTCTATTTTTCTTCAGCGAGAAAATTTTACATCCCGTTAAATTTATCCCCGAATCTAATATTCCTTAATACTTAAAGTTTTATTTTCGCCAATAAAGCGATACATTACGGTACTTGACTCAGATCCTTATTTGATCGCCATCAAAAGGACCTTCCCCCGCAAGAGACCGTACCCGATTTACATAATAAATGGCTAGAGGGACTCTTTTCTTGCCTTTTTAAGAGTGATCCCGCTAAATCTCGCCGAACGTCAAGATCGATAGACGAGCAGAGTACTGAAAGTTTTAACTGATATTATTGCCATCTTTATCATCGAATCGCCCTTATCTGATCCACTTGACTTCACCTCGTTACCGGAATGTTATTAACTTTAGGGGATGATGAGAGCGCCGCCAAGTGCCTCCTTAAACGTTACGGCATTTTCATCTACCGGTCGACTTACCGCGGCGGAGCCCATAATTCGGGATATGGTGCTCGCGACGCTATTCGCGTGTGTTCGTCGAGCTTAAATCTCACACATAGCGAACTTATAGTGCACCGAGCGTAAATTACTCCCCTCCAGCGGGCACGTATATAACTTCGCGGCCGGCATCCCTCCCTCTCGGAATGCCAGTAAGCTCCGTCGAGAAATTTAATCGAGATTGGGAAAACCTTATTTTCCCTCTCGCCCGCGTTTCACATCTCGTCTTGCAGCCAGATAAAATGCTGTCGCAAGTAAGACACTCGTCCCTCCCTTGTTACAAGATGGGATCTCGCGAAGAGAGAAACAAGCTTCCCGCTTCTCTCCCGTCGAGAATGGACGTTGCGCGATAAATGAAAAAGTGTACTATCTAAAAAAAAAAAGGGAAAGAAACGAGACATATGGTAACACCAGGAACCTGCTGAATTTTATAATCAGATATTCGCGTCGAAAAATTTCATCCGGAACGAAAAAACGTCGCCCCGTTATTACCGTATAAACGATTGCTAAACATTTTCGACATCCTTGCGATTAGAACTTCAGTCCCGAATAATCGGAGAATGTGTCCTTCACAATTCATAAATATATGTGACATTTATAAGCTCTCTGACAAAATCCTAATATACAAGTCCATAGTTATCATTTAGAGAACATTTCCACTGGACGGCAACCATTCGTATCAGCGTCAAAATCATTGGGCAATACATTACTAATTTCAACTGACTATATTTTACAATTAAGCCCAATGAGATGCAAAATTTCTATGCGGATAATGTTAAACAGATAATGACAATAGTTATGTAACGTACATATATCTTTAGTGCCAATTCCTTAGGTCTTCATTGCTTCTTTTTACGATATAATATCGTAGGAGTCATTGTACATGTCAATAGAAAATAAAAGTTTTTATATAAACTGTTAATAAATAATATAAAATGTATACACGTAAATACACTATATTTATGTGATAATGTATACGTTTTCAATTGTGTCAAAACTATAGTCTGCTTAAAAGGTCTCGTTCCTGGCATCCTTATAAAAACGAAAAAAAAAACTACGCAATGCAAAAATAATTCAGCCAATATCGAAGGACGAACCGTGAGAATCAAGAGAAATGAGTTAACTCCTTGTAAGGCCATACCGGAGGCAGCCCCGGTGCGACATCGTTTGTACGTCGATTACCCGCAGTCTCGCAAAAGCGGACTGCTCATTGCGTAATGAGCGCGTCCGGGCAGATGCGGCGAGGACATCTTTATCAACGGCATCTCCCTGCTTTGTGCACCTTGTACGTGCGTCGCATCGCATCGCGTCTAAAGCTCGTAGACGTCACGTCCGTTCGGTCTGGCCACAGCCGGACGGCAAGACGACGGACTCGCGTACGAGTGAATGATGTGCACTCTGAGGCGCACGTCGCTCGCATTTCTACCCTCGCGCGGCCTCCTCGAGAAGCTCACCGTGGTCTTGCAGCAGCAGTAGTGAAAAAGCTTGACGTAAGCGCTGCGAAAGTGGCGATCCGCGACGCAGTAGAGCAGATTGTTGAAGCAGGACTTGGACAGGGCAAACCAGGCCAGATTGTAGAACACGCTCGCGTTGACTGGAACAAAAGAATTCACGCAGACCGCCGTGCCGTACGGCAACCAGAACACGACGAACATCACGCAGCTGCACATATTTGTCTTGGCGAGCTCGTAGTCCCAGGAGAAGGCGGCCGGCGGCTTGTACGAGCCCCGCGTGGCCCGTCGTACGCGTATCACCAGCTTCACGTAGAGGAAGATCGTCGTCAAAGCTGGCAGTCCGACGAATATGCCGGCCCCTACCGCCTGTTCCATCGCGATACCGCTGAGCTTGCGGCGGCAAAAGTCAGGACCTATGTCCAAGAACGATTGCAGAGCCACCACAGTCACGGCGATTAGCCAGAGGACGATGATCGTAGCTGTTACATGACCCGGCGTCAAGTTGGCGTATCTATAAAATATGAAATACGTTGCTGTAAACATCAATGAATTAACTAGGAAAAGGGTGTACGCATTAGATATTCCTAAAGTTCTTCATAACGAGAGATGTTTTAACAAGTGTTACATTGTATTACGCAAATTTCTCTGTAGCTTTGAGTAATTGTATATAACCAAAATGATACGTGATAAGAGTTTTAAAGTAATGTGAATATAGACTGCTAAAGCATCATTAAGCCCGGTTCGCTGTTGCAACTTTGGAATACACCTAGGAATAATTCTCATAGAGATAACAGGAGATAATACGTTGTCTCGTCGGATGGATATTTCCCCCTTAATTGCATCACGAGCTTGTTTAAGTCCCGGCTTTCTTATACGGCGTATTCAATTAAAGAAAATATTTCCCTCGGTGATACACTGCGCGACTGCAATTACGGAGTTGGTCGTACTAGTCTGCGGATTAACGAGGGGCTTGAAAAACGAGTCGGTAGTTACGGAGTTAGCGGCGCTGGCGGACGATTTCTCGTTTACAATGCGAGGAAACTTCCTCGAGTCCACGTGTTCGCCGTGATTCTTCTGACGCGACCGGTTAAAATACTTCCGCCGTAACGCCGTATTGTCGCGAAACTTTCCGCGTGCGTATGAAAAGCCAGCCGTCGTCGTCGTCGTCGTCGTCGTCGTTATTGTCGTCGTCGTTTCTCCCCCGAGATCGTCTGCTATCGGTTACGAATTCCGGCAATTCAAGCTAAAGAGAACGTCGCTCGGAATGCGAAATTACGAACTCGATCGTGACGCTGATAGAGAACACCGTAGAAGCACTTCAACGTCAAACTCCAAGTTTCAAGCAGTGGTCGCCATACGCCATTATACGCGATGGCTTAAACTGATAACAGTAATTTGATTTCTACCCCATTCACTGTGTTTACATTACCCATATCCACCCAACGATGTTAACCATCGCGAGGTATTTTCATGCAAAAGCCACCAGCGATAACGATATATCCAGGCATGTATTATAACATTTACCATCTCTTCTCTTCGGCTCTAATGATGTTATCTGCCTATAATAAGAGACATTAGCCTGAAATATTCATGTGCTCGTGAAAAAGCATCGACGTAATAACACGATAAATATTGCAAATGGTGTAACAATACGTGAATAGAAGGCACAATTTTAAGGAGGGCTAGTTATCGATCTCTCCCATGCATCGGGCTAGCATCTTTTTGCGAGTAAACAGGCGCGGTCATAATTTTCTTCTCTTTTACTGTCCCCACCGGAACTCCGACCTCCGACCCGAACGATGACCCGACTTGCCTATATTACTGTATTTAGGGTGTTGCCTTAGAAACACTTGCCAGGTGAAGATATCAAAGCTAGATATTGGAGAATATAGAGCTGATATTTTCTTCGAAATTTATTATACGAGTTACGGTGTGATTACTACCGAAAAAATCGCCGCAATATCGTCGCAACAAAATTTGAAATAGAAGGAAGCACATATATGTTTTCCCGGAGAATGGTTACATAAATTTCTCGATAATCGTTAGCGGAGATAGAGAGTTGTTACGAGAAAAACGTCCCCGAGGCGAGGCACAGAACAAGAATGTGCATGCGTGGGGAATTGCAGGAACGTGGTGGGTATCGATTGCCGCGGAATCGCCGGTGCACTCGCTTTATCTTTCGGCTGGCAAACAGTTAACACAAGCGGGCGTAATTTTCGGCCGCTATTGTCGCGGACGGCGGTAAGGCCACCGGGGACCAAAGAGCTTTACAAGCACAGGTTTTGGTATATATGTTACTACGACCGCGCCAAATGAAGACCCGCCTGCAAGAACCAGATAGCCTCGCCTTTGATCGAAGTGAATTATTTACATGGAAATGGAGACAATCTCCTGCTGCACAGGATAATGCAAGTGTTTATTAAGGCAAATTGTTAGTCGGTAGTCGGCAGCAGTTTGATGAAGTTCGGAAGCTTGTTTACGTGCTAACCATAAATGGATTTAACTCCATCTTCACATATTGCCGCTGATAGCGCGCGGAATAAGATCGATTGTTCCTTCCTTTTCTCCCCCGTGCCTCCTTCTCTCACCTCTCGAACAGACTTGAATACGTCTCTCAAGTTGTATCGATGACATACCGAAAGAGGCAAAAAAAAGGCGATTTATAGGAAATTTAATTTTCGTTAGGCTTCTCGAGTATCGACAAAAATTTTCGTCGAATGTATCACTGCGAGGCGAAACGAGATTAATATTATTTCCGTTTTGGATTATATATCAAACAGTTCGGTTTGATTAACCGGCAAGCGCCGCACTGTGAAGTTCTTTATTTAGTTTATCGAAAACCGCGGGCCAGCCGATAAAATTCGCGTTAAAAAACCCCCGTCCCCCCGCGTTTTACCAAACCAAAAGGGAAACCCTTTTTGCCCGGCCTTTGCGCGAGCGAGAGTTTGTTAGTTTTTGCGGCGGTCCGGACAAATCGAGACACCCCGGGGTTCGATCCATTTTTCATGCCACCCTACGGGACAAATAACAAACTTTGTTAACGATTACACCGCGTAACATCAGTTCGGCCGGTCCGTCCCTCCGAGCAAGTGACGGAAAGCGGCCGCTGGGCAAGAACGTGAACGTGCCCGTGTGTGTCGCGTCGTTCCGGAAACGGACTGCTCAATTAGTATCCGACAAACGCCACCTCGTAAACAAAGCGGAGCGGGTTAAAGGCGACGCTTTGAAGGGTCCTCTTCCCCGACGCGACACGCGGGGGGGAAGAGGGGAGGGAGGGGGTGGGAAGGGGAGGGAGAGAGGGAGGGGGGAAGAAGTCGCGCGCGGTGGCGAGCGGTGGCAAAAAAGCGCCGACAATCGCAGGAATGTAGCAGCTATTGATCACGCCAACGGTCACGTGTGCTATATCTTTTCGATCGCCGAAGCCCCGGCACTTAATTCGACGGCGGATGGGCCTCTCTCTCACCCCGTCTTCCCCCTGTTTCCGTCGCTGACAACGCGTTTCGCCGTCTCCTTTCACCCGCCGTCCGTCGACACACGGGCGCGAGCGGGTCCGCCGACGTCTCCCGATGAAGAGTAAAAAAAAAAAAGGAAGTATTCCGGATGAGACGACGCGATAACGGTAATAGCGGGGACTCGTCTCCTCCAGCGATGGCAGTTACAGGGTTGTAATATTGATCGGGCCACCGGGTCACCGTTCATGTCCAGAGTTGGATTCGCGCCATTTCGACGGTCAGACGAAAGGTCAGCACCATTTTCTACTATTTTCGCAATAAGCTGATCAATCTTCCGTTTCCCGGCCTACCTATATGCATCGTTTTTTTGCAATGCCGTATTTGTCGGGTGTAATCGGTATAACGCGCAGGGTAGATTTGTGCATTTGCGCGTTAATCGAGCCTTTCGAGCAGAGGGAGCAAGCATTTTTGCACTCTTTAAATAATATATAAATTGTGGTGTACGAGAGAGCTCCCGAATGATAATAATATGGATTAACGTGATGTTTAGCTGATTGGACGACGAATTGCATTATTACGTGTTCAGCCTGCGCCATGAAAGCTAACTAGGAAACATTTTAATCCGGAACTGTGTCTATGCGCAAATGGAAATGTCGCAGCAAATGAATTTGCATAGAAAGTTGGAGTTTTGCATATAAATAGTACCGAGCCAGACACAATGTGTGTCATTACTTTAGAATTGCGTTTTCGCACCACAGCACTGTAATCGTATTGTCCGGAAAAGCCATAAATATATAAAATATTGGGTAACCATCGCATTATGAAAGCGATATTCCGCATCTCGCCCATAAAATCGTGATGTCATTATACTGAGCATCGTATGTAATGTTGTTGACTTTTTTAGGACAAAAACATTCTGATAATATTCAGACATGCAATATAAAAATTTCTCTATCTTTAAGTAGCGAGATGAATTATATCAGATCATGAATGCAATTTTTCATGTGCGTATTATTATACACAATATATAACTTTATAATTATAATATATATACATATAATTTATTATATGAAAATTTCAAGAATATAAATAATTAAATCATTCTCGTTTCTCTTTTTTTTTACATGATTGAGAAATTACTCAGAAAAATAATTTATATTGAAAAAGCAACATTATAAAAATCGTTATCTGAGAACTTTTAGTTTTATATATACTTTAATTATTTTTCGTATATGTATATTTCAGCTCATAGAAAGAATAAAAGATATATAAACTGTAAAACATACATGAATTGAGAATATCTAGAAATTAGAATTAAGCGTACAAAATTTTTTTCGTTTTTATTATTCTCGTCTTTATCAGAAATGCTAATGTCACAAAAAATGTATTTTATATCTAGTTTGTGAAGAATATTCTTAATGAAAAATATTTTGGCTGAATGTAAACTGACAGTACAGAGCAATCGGAAACGCAAAAGGATAGAAAAATAGCTTAACTGCAGTTAAGTCCTTCCCGAGAACTTCTCAATTTCGCGTGATATACCCACGCTCGAATATCGCGGAACTGCAAAAGGATCTCTGAGATAAAATAGACAGGAGAGAATGAAACGCGATCATGATGTCACGTAGCAGTCGACGCGTTAAATTGCGGAAACACCCCTTTTTCGCGGGTTTCTCTCTCTCTCTCTCTCTCTCTCTCTCTCTCCATTTCCACTGTACCTTTCGGGGGGCAGACACAGACGTGCGTAATTTTCGGCGGCGATTGTGGCCAACGTTAGTACGGTCACCAGGAAGCAGAGAGCCTCGAGGGTCCACTCGAATCGGCAGGCACCCAGGGACTCCGCAGGAGTCCCATCGTAACCCGCTAGGATTACGATCACAGAGACCGGTATTACCAGGCCAGTCACCAGCAGGTCCGCCAGCGCCACGTTCACGAGGAATGCGTTTCCTGGAAAAAGAACCCGCGTGAAACTCATTAAAGTAATTAGCTTGCGAGTTCTTGCGATCTGGAAACGCTCGAGAGAGCCGACGTTCCGCACTTTTTGCGTTCGAATTGCATTGTAGGCGCGATCGTGAGGGCAGATGTACCCTTGAGTAATGCTCCCATATCGCGTGAAATCTCAAAATTGCTCGAAACGATATCTAAATTAATACTAAATACACGAATCGTTTATTTTCCAAGCGGAGTAAGCTCAGTTCTCGAAAACTTGCCGAAATCAATAGACGCGAGTTTATAGCCGCTTTCCTCACACAAAATTCATAATCTCTTAAAACTTTTCGCATGAACAGTTTAGACAACTTTTATTTCGATTAATGCCGGGATTACGATGAACTTAACGTAACGGGACGCGACGGGACGCGAAGTAACGTAAAACCTAAACACATTGTTTTTATATGCGGCTGATTACGATCGACTTTACGTAACGCATATAAAAACAATGTGTTTAGGTTAAGTTGCTTCGCGTCCCGTCGCGTCCCGTTACGTTAAATTCATCGTAATCTCGGCATAATTTCTTGTTAGATAAGTGGATTTCATCACGACATGACAGGTGACAATTTCACCTTTCAAATTTATTTCACAAAAATTTAATAACATTATAATCAGAATATAATAAAACAATATTTTTTAAAATCTGTGAAAAAAATGTGTTCTTGAGCATTCGCAATACATACAATATTAGCTGTAATTTCAATTTTAACTAGATATTATCGAGAGGTGGGTGGAAGGTAGCCGGGCAGTGAATCGTGCTAAATACGTGTAAATTAGAAATTTCATTCTATTGTTTTTTTTCCTCTATTTTTATATCCGCTGATACATAAGCCGGTCGTTTTGTCACGATTCAGTGTCGTTACAATTTACCATCCGAAATGTAATCCAGTGGGTTAGACCTCATCTTTTCCGATCGATCGCGCGCGCTTCGCCGCGGCGTACGCTATTTGGAGTGGGATTTTCAGACAGTGATATAAATTCGCGGGATAACCGTGTTGGACACGTACCGATCTATCGCGCACGACGCCAGGATTTCGCCTGTACTGCCAAGAGCGTCTAAGACGTCCCGCACTTTTCCTCTTCCGTTGGCAGAAGTGCCAGCCTTCGACCGAGTATTCTTGTGCCAAACTATTATATTACGCAGACTATCATCTTGAACCTTTTTGCAGCTTCGCGCTCAGCTAAAGCAGTGCGGAGAGAACGCTTGATTTTCGCCGCCGCGGCCGCGCCGAAGAGAAAACTCGGAGCGAACGCGGCCGGCCAATCTCCAACATTTAATCAACGCACGCCCACAGGGGCATAATATCGGAGGTCGTAGCTTCTGCTCGGGCAAATCGTAAAAGCCATAGTAATTGCAAAACGATGTCGGCCGAAACGAACAGTCACGCCGGCTGTAAAACTTTACTCAGACGGCGGCAACGACGACGATGATGACGACAACGACGACAACGACGACAACGACGAGGAGGACGACGACGGCGACAAAAAAAGGCGAGGATAAGGCCACGGTGCCGCTGTCGCAGCTGTTATTGCGAGTCAACGATTATAGCGTTTCATAAGTTCATACGTAGAGCCTGGCGTAAGCGAAATACCAAATTGTAGAAAGTCACAGAAAGAAAGGGGCGTAATATCCGCATTACCTCACATTGCCCCTCTCACGACGCGATATATTCCCTCGATTCTCGGGGATTTCCCCGAGATCAATACCCGACGAAGACACGGAGAAAAGGAAATAATATCCGTACGTCGTCACGTCCTTAGGGGAGTATAACGCTATAATAAGATTGCGCGCTTCTGCACGAGAGAGAGAGAGAACGAACGTATGCCGTTACGCTCGGTCGCACCGCGCCGCTCTATGAGTAATAAAATGCGTAATAAGATTTTTTTTCACCAAGTGTGCACGCTAGAGCATCGGGCTTTCACGCCAGGGTTTAACGAGCCGTCCTCGAAGGAAAAGGCCGATGTTAAACATCGGGAATGAACGAAGTTTTCATTAGTCAATCGTCTCGTTGCTGCATGCAATATGCATGCAGCGCGCGTACGCGCGAGAAATAATTATTATAATTATACATTTCCTCGTAGCTGCACTGGTAAAGTGCACGCCGGGTAAACGGCGTGCTCGCGGGTTGTTGTTGTCTGACTTCACTCACCCTTATAAGATAAATTTTCATTTACTATGGTTTCCTTATGTAAATAGATACCGCGCACAATGGGATAATGCCTCGCGCCGACGTGAAAACGACGCACTGGGTTATCAAGTATTCAAATTACATTTAAAAAAAAAAAAAACATTGTACATTGTTATAAGTACCGAGCATCTCACGACTTCAACCGCGCGGCTTAATTGAGCGGCGAAAGCACTTTTAAGAAGTCATCAACACCTATAAATTACGGACAAAGCGGCGCGTTGTAAGTTGCAGCCTCTGCACGTATAATTTCAACTTTTTTTCCCGACGTCTTATCGCCATCTCGCACTGACGTACTTGGCACTGACGTTTTACGTTAAAGCACATAGTATATAATTGTAGCATATTATATCATTTTACTTATATATACTTGCAATATAAAACTTTAATGAATCATTTATTTAATATTCTTATTGGTTCTACTGCAAAGCTGTCAATGACTGACTAAACATACATGTGCAGGATACCCGAGGAATTAATAATTCTAAAGCTATTTAAAGCTTAAGCGTTAAAAATATCTGAAAATGTGCTCCAGCAGATAAAGTAAATTACATCGCGACGTTATATCCATAGACGACACTCTCTCGCTGCAAAGCTGAGGCGACATTTTTACCAAGGGCGACCTCGGACTTGTCGCTTTCGGGGAAGCGCGAAACGTAGTGGCACCAACACGTCAACGACTCTGTACGGCCGCAAACGTGTTCGCGCCTTTGGCGAGGATATTACACTGCGATAAAAATGATTACGCGACAAATTGCACCGCCCGCGCTTCGGGAAGGCGAAGGAAGTCAACTGCCTTTCGCCACCCCCCCGTCCCGGTTAATAGGATGAAATATCGCGCGGGTGGGTAGGCGAAAAACTCGGGGGAGAGAGTCGGCAGAGAAGAGACCGCGGCAGGCAGAATCGAGAGATCTGCTCTCTCTTCAGGTATCGACGAATTAAGCCCCGCAGTAGTAGTCGCTTTCGCGCCGCGCGGCGCCCGCATTCGCCGATCGCATTTTCCGGAGGTACGTTTCGGCGTGACGAGATCTGATCGATTCAGCGGTTGATGCGTGGAATAAATTATCCCGCATCAGCGCTCGTGGCGTCACTTCGAAATTGATTCTCTCTATCTCCCTTCTCTATATCTCCATCTCTCATCCGGGGTCCCCTGTCTAGCCGCAGTGCCGCAGCATCGTCATGGGAACGTGCACCCTCCCCACCAAGGGGTATTCTTCTACGTACCGAATGAATCCGCGCTGATCAGAATTTGTTTTAATCGATTTACCGAGTCAGCCCGCCGCTCGCGCTCACGTGTTCTCTTTCTCCTCGCTCGCCGGGGCCTCGTTTCACGAGCGCCGAACCGAACTATTCGCCAACCGCACCGCGGAGTACTCCAAGTATTCGCATTACCGGCGGGGATTCACCGCGTTCGGCCGCCGCCTCCGTGATCGGGGTTTCCAAGGGGAGCATCCAGACGAGACGAGATGGGACAGGAGAGCGAGGAGAATCGAGTGAGGGACTAGGGAGAGAAGGGGGTAGGAGAAAGATATGGAACGGCGCTCTCTCGTTGCGGCATTAGATACAGGGCGGGCAGGAGTTATACGGGAACCGGGTCCGCTCGTGCGGCTACGCGCCGCGAAATTGACTCGCTCATCCGTGTACACCCTTATAGCGACCCCACGACTGCGCAATCCATTACGGCGCCATCGGGTTACCGGGCATCGCGGATACGCTGCGGTGTTGGCTTTTTGTTTCTCTCGAGTTCTCGCCGCGCCGCGCCGGCAGAGTTCACGCAAACGAAGCCGAAGTCCGTCCGACACTTCACGTCCGCAGTAGAAATGGGGTTTACGTCAGGCACGAACGGACATCCACGAGCATTTCCCCGCGCAATCCTCTCTCTCTCTTATCTCCCTCTCTCTTTCTCTCTCTCTCGTACATACGTCGCGCGCCGCACACCGGAGACGTTCCTCCGGCCGACGCGACGCGACGGACGCGGGGGAAAAAGGAGGAATCGCGTGTTAGGGCCGGATTTCCGGCTACAGACAGGCCAGTTGCCGTCGCGTCACGTTCAGACGTATTTATTGGAAAGGGACCGATCGTGAAGTTCGAAATTGCGCTCGCGATCGGCACATTAAAACTTCAATCTCGTTACAAGCTTTATTTCATGTCCTACATTGTTCCGTCCTTATTAAGCTCTTGTATTGTTAACCATTCGCATAAAAATTGACATTGATTCGAGGAAAACAATAAATATTTCTCTCAATAAAGATCCGTTTTATACAATCCAAGTCTTTTTTACTTTGAGAGATATATGCTGCTCTATAAAATACCATCAATGTAAAGAAATTATATAGATACTCAATATACAATTATTAAGTAAAATTATTAAGCATTATTATTATAAATTATTGCAACATTATTATTACAAATAAAAATTTCAAAACTAAATAATGAAGATGTTTTAATCATACAAAAGAATTAAATTAATATATATATATATATATATATATATATATATATATATATATATATAGCTTTGCTCAATAAAAACGAACAAGACATCAAAAACAGATATTTTCATAAAAAAGAACTGATAGCTTATATTATATTCGTATTGTTTTTTTATTTAGTTGGTTATAGACATCGCGTTTGACGTTCAAACACGTTCTATTAAGTACACGAGCACTTCCATCATAACTACATATCAAGGATTCATGTATCTTCACTCGCGGCCGATATCAAGATTTTATACCCTATTTGAAACGCACATATTGGACGTGGAAACGATGGTGGAGCACCATTGAAGACCGTCTTCTAGAGAACAATTGCATTCGTCATGTCAGAGTCGGATGCGTTCTAGATCACTATAAAATCAAGAAATAGTCGCGGACGATCCGGTTAATCCTCGTTACCGCGATAATAATGAAGTTTCCCGTTGTCATCGCGGCTTGAGAGACGACCGCGTCGCGGCGAGCTGAGAACTTTATAGCTGGGAAAACGAGGAAAGCGGAACGAGATTTTCTCGGTGAATAGCTCTCCGGACGAACGCCAGTATTATTTGCACCACTATCGAGATTCATGCAGAATAAAATAGCGGTAAAAATGTTTCGGACCGTTTCAATAAGAATTACGAGGGCGGCCAGTGTGTGACGGCACACAGTTATAAAACCGAGAAACTCAGCAAATTAAAGTGCTGAGAAAAAGAGGAAAAAGAAAGAGGAAAGGACGAAAAAAAAGAAAAGAAAGAAAAAAAAGTCATTCAAAGAGAGAAAAAGAACAGTAAGGTAAAATTGATTTGCTGCTCTGGGACTAAATCTTCCCTCGGAAAGTATATGTAATATATAAATATATATATATATATATATATACGCGTGATGAAAACCACTATATAAAGCAACAATTAGTTTGATAGATATATAAATAGAAAATAATAATATAATAAAGACAAAAATTATAACCGACAGAGATACCTTACAAAAAAGGAAGTGTTTAAAACATTGCGATCTTCATATTCAAAATTAAAAAATATCAAGATATTTACTACTGATATTAAAAATATGCGGTAAATTGTCATTTTTTTTGAAAATTTTTTTCAAGAAAACCAACTTCTTTTTAAATCTGTCAATAAATATAACACTAAATATTTCTTTCAAGTTAAAAGTTCTGAGATAAAATTCGTAAATGGATAATTTTTTTCAAGCGTTCGCATTTCTCTATGACAAATTAAACTTGTGGATTTAAATTGAATATAAAGATAAGAAGACAAAGGATGAGGAAGAGCGATATACTTAGCCGACAATGTAATTACGTTTCCATCCCCATTGCTTTGTATATCATTCCGTCCACAATGTCATTGTTATTACGCTCTATGCGGAGTGCTCGCGTGCAAATAATAATTATCTCGGGTCGGCCCGAGCCACGAGCCAGCGCGGAGACAACGACATACGATAGTGTCCAGGGATTATTTATTATCACGCCGGCGTATCTGCGGAGGATGAGAGAGAGAGAGAGAGAGAGGGAGAAAGAGAGGGAGAGAGAGAGAGAGAGAGAGGTACGGTTTGCAAATAATACGAAAAATCGATCTCGTCATTGCCGCAGGTATAATGGCACGTTGAAGATCCCATCTTCTCAACAGATTGTGCCGACGACGTTCTTTACTGTTACGTCCTTCCTCGGCCGGATACAGACGGAGGACGCTTTTGTCCGTGGAGACGCAAAAAAAAAAAAGATAAGAGATCTTACCGTAGCGATATATACGAAAGAACGTTGTCGCGAGGCACGTCGGAAATGTACGACCCCCTGGATGGCTTTTAGTCGGATATACTTCTATAGAGTAAAAACTTTCGTCGTTGCATTTGTCGATGAGAGCATTCTCTTTCAGGTACCGCTGCCTTCCATCCACCCTCTCTCTCCCTCGCGCCCCATTCAATTCTTCCCAATGTCGCTTTTACTATTTTAATTCTCCACCTCAAATTTATATAGCGCGAGAACGATTCTCTCTCCGCCTTCGCAAGCGAATTCTGCGTTCGCTATCGTTTTTTATTAGCAATCGTAAAGGCAAAATTACGGGCGTACCTCGCTTGTTCAGCTGATCCTCCACTACCACGGCGGATATCATGAAGACGTTACCCACGCTCCCGCTGACGGCGAGGGAGGCCAACAGCAAAAGTCGGGCCACCCTGGACCAGGCCGACGACAAGGTCACTGGAGAAATGTCGTCGCTACTCATGTTGCTACTCATGTTGCTGATCGCCTTGCTGAGTCTTTCAGACTCGACACCGATAATATTAGCCACGGTGCTTGTCACACCGTTGTAGATCACCGTCGCATTCATTCTGAAACTGAAAACAAAAATAGATCGTTACTTATAGAATGATTTTACGCTAGAATAAAGCGATAATAAATAAACCTGCTGGTTGATGGATACTTCAACGTCATTGAATTGAGACAAGCTAAGATTTCAATAAAGATCGTAATGAGAATCTGCACTCACTTTCAAATACGAATTACAATTGCAATTTATCGACTGGGCCTATATATTTAACTAGATACTTTCCTCGGGAGTATCTCACGGATGATTAGCGACAAAGGCAACAAAGTTTATCTTCGATGAGCAACACATCCCTTCCGTCTTTCACCAATTTAAAGGACGGTTCATGGTGGTCTGCAAGTCTGGAACACGGAGGAAACGAGGCTGAAGCTATTCGATATCACGCTATTACACGGAGAGAGGCCCTTTGAAGATTAGGGCCGACAAGACCATACCGACCACCCTAATTGTGAATTATCGATCGGACCACGGTGTGGGGATAGTCACCTGTTCCGACCGTGGCCCATGTTAGGTTTCCACAATATCCTCGTTGTCGCTAACAACATCTGCGCAATATCATGGTAATTAGCAAATATAAGTGTCGTGGCACGCAGTCAGATAACAGCTGACGCTGTACGGAACGTTGGAAAAGAACGTTTTAGAATTTAAGGATGCATAATACTCGTCTAAACTATCTTTCATCTTTGAGAAGAAGTTTTACGGACACGCTAGCTTGCATGAATAAAGAGAAAATGCCTTTGCTTCTGTTTTTCAAAGAATGTGTTTCGCAAAATATGAAGAAAGATATTAGAGATTTTATTTGCTTATAGTGGAAATTAAAATATTCATTTCAATATAAATAAAAAATCGCAAGAAAGGCTATATAATTTGTAAACCGAGAAAGTAATTTGTTATCTGTAAAAGT